TTTTATACACAGTTGGCCCCAGGGGCCGGTTGTATAAAAAAGTGATTAAAGTTAACTATAGTTAAGTGGGAACGTCATCCAATAAGAAGCGCCAATTTAAAGAGTTAATCACTATTTAACTACAAAATAGTGATTAAAAAAGTGATTAAGAGTTTTATACAACCGGCCCCTGGAATGTAACTTGGCAACCGCAAAGCCTATGGTTTCCTATCTTCAAGGACATGGGTAATCTTCAGCACATATGACAAAACATAAGTTATCTGCTTCATTACATGAGCGCTATGATGCTTAAGACGCTTAAGCTCGCTATTGTGTAATTATGCAAAGCACAGAGCCCTGCATGGGACCTGCATTTTTCTTATAATTTTTCGCAGACACCTTAATCCAGCATGGGTAATCTTCAGCACATATGACAAAACATAAGTTATCTGCTTTATAATTACGCAAACCACAGAACCCTGCATGGGACCTGCATTTTTCTTATAATTTTCCCCAGGAACCTTAATCCTTCCTTCTTAGACTGTCTTCGCACTGCACGGTTACAGTTTGTTTACAAATTAAATTAGCACTCATGTAAACCCAAAATATTTCAAATAGAGCAAAGAAACGTGAACGAAAATCATTGGATGCTTGTGATGTTACTCTGAGTGTATATCCACACCGGGCCAATCTCGTTCCCCGAGTCTGCGATCCTCGGGAAGGAATGCGAGACTCTTGGGATAATCCGTTGCCGGAAGCCAGGAATCTTGGCTAAGACTGAACTACGCATTCCATTTCAACGGCCCATCAGATTCCTCCCTGAAACGGATTATCCCAGAGCCTCACGTTCCTTCCCGATTGACACCGGGAAAGCTTGAAATATATGCCTGGCCACGGTGTGGATATACACTCAGAGTATTACAAGCATCATATTCACCTGAGAACATTACACCAAACACAGAAAAATCATGAAAATCATTGGAATTGCCTGTTTTGAGATTGCGATGCTTGATTTGCAAGCGGTACAAAAAGGTATTATAACGGTGTTCAGATTGTGTTGACACGAAGCCGCCAAGCGCTCCGTTTTCATCTTGCTCCGTTTAGAAACCCTGCTCAAATTGTTACGGCAAAAGTGACGTCTTCAAACAATAGACAATTCCCATTATAGACTAATTTTAAAACTAGACAAGGAGATGCAAATAAATCACCACAGCTAGAAAGAGCATACTAAAATTAGTGAAATTGCAAAGTTTGGTTGCGAAATGTTGTAAAATGCGGAAAATATAGCCTTGCAAAGTTTGCAAATTTTGTATACTTTTGTTTGTATTGCGTGCGGAAGAAATTTCCACACGCAATACAAAGTATACAAAATTTACAAACTTTGCAAGGCTATATTTTCCGCATTTTACAACATTTCGCAACCAAACTTTATGCTATTTCTAGCTGTGGTGATTTATTTGCATCTCCTTGTCTAGCTTTAAAATTAGTCTATAATGAGAATTGTCTATTTCCCTCCGGCGTCGTGTGAACGCGACAGCTAATTGTGACTTTTCTGCGCCGTTTTCAAACCATGCACTCTGGCGTGGCGTGAACAGACAACTTGCCAGAAATATATCAATCAATCAAAAACTATATTGACGTGTCCATTTTTCACCTAGCTGAAGAAGATTTCCTTTGCTAATTGGGGATTTTCAGAAATATACGGCACATGTTTGGCGGCTTGCCACACTTGCATGTTTAAGTAAATACCAGGCCTGAGTAAATAGAAAGAGTAAACAGTGCCCTATGACCTGTGTCCAATCTGTTTGCTTGATCATTCGCGATTATTCCTGATTACGTACTCTAGTAGCGCGCGAAGTCTTTGCGCAATCATGTGCAAAGCAACTATATACACGAAACTTCTGTTTGCTTAGAAAGAAAAGCATGGTGTTGAAATATTTATACATTTTCCAAAAATAGCCGTTCTTTTCCCTTCCAGGTATGCATTTGGCGATGCGAGAAGGCCAAGTACAGAGTCTGCTCGACTTATAGAAGGAATAGTCCATCAACAAATATCTAACTTGGTAAGAAATTTGGCTTATATTCTCACTCATGACGACACTTAATTCAAATCACAGAAATGAAGAGTTCCATAGTAAAAGTTTTTTTCTAAAATTCTGATACTGCGAGTGATATACTGCCTGCGCAGAGGACAACGAAAAGTCGTTGTCTCCAGCGGGAACTCACTATGATTAGATGCGAGTTAAAAAGCTGCGGGTACAACCCGCGAGAAAAGTTTACCATACATATATGAGGTCAGTGAGGAATGTTTAATGTGAAACACTCTGGAGACCGCATTTCTGTAGCAATCGTAACATACACATTTGCTAGCAGTCGCTAGCCTGTAGTGTTTGTCTGTATGTGCACGAGTACAATGCAATCAACTAGCTGATCAATGGTAAATACTAGTCCGTAGGAAATAGGAATAAAAAGCCACCAATCCTTCCAAGGTAGCACAAGAACATACATGTCAGTACCTCCCCAACTATCATATGCATTTTAGTGCATTGTTCTGTGTTTGAAGAAAAATATATAAAAAAAAAAACACTAAAAACATTCAAATTGTGTTTACAAGGTTGTTCAAACAGCCGAAGTGACGGCGTTGAGAGGTGGCAAATTCATGCATACAGAAGATATCAAATTTCTTATGCGAAAAGACAAGGTACCGATTAGTGATGTTTTCGAAATTGAGTTGGTTGGAGTTCGCCGAATATAAGCGAAGTGATCTTTTTGTTTCGTTTCTCGCAGGAGAAGTTGAAAAAGTTGAACTTGTACCTCGGTTTCAAGGAAAGCAAACAGAAGTTGGTGAAACAAGTTTCTCAAGAAGACGATGAAATTCTGGGAACCATAGGTACGACAGCTCGTGTTTGTGGCAAACTTTGTTTAAGAAATTGATTTTCAAAATTCTCAATCGCAAAGTAATTATGACTTCTTCATATTTATATAGCTGGAAATGATATGAAAATAGGAAACAAGCGTAGACGGCTATCTGATTTAGGCTCGATCGATCAGAAAGGTAGGTATACCAGTACATTACTGTATATTTTATGAAGCATGCAATGACTGCAGCTCCCTGCCAAAGACACTGGCCCAGACCCTCGTATTCTTTCAATGCGAGATAACACAAAAGCATCTGGAGACCTTCATCCGCCAGATACATCAACCTCCCAGAGTCTGCCGCAGCGAGGCGTAGAGGAGAGCCTGGGAACGAGGTTGCAGGAACATGTGATGGTGAATCTGCAACAAAATGTTTGCCTTCACAAAAGGATCCTATATACGTGATGACGCGATCTGACATACATTATACACCGCTATCAGACCGTGGGTGATTAACATAACTGGCATCTGGCTAAACGCATGTGACCCGCTTTATCTTTTCTCTACAACAGACGATTCTAGCTTTCTTGGAGATGATGGTCACGACCAAAGACGTGAGAGACAAGAGGCAAGTAATCTTTACAGATGAACCATGTTATGGTTCCTGGGTTATGTGGTGTAAATGTTCGATTGATCTCCTAATATGACTTTCCTTGTTGCATTTTGCTTAGAGAGCAGAACGCCTGTCCAGAACACTGGATACTCAGCAGTATTTGGAATTCGTTGAATGTCGTCAAGCAAACTTCAGTAAGTATCATATCTTCCATCCTTAAAGATTTACCATAAGAGCAATCAGGGACTAAAGCCTCTAATTGTCCCCAGATTTAAAGATCTACAGTAACCACTGGACTGACAACAACAACTCCACTTTAGATAAAAAAGCTGGAAAGTTCAAAGAATGGTTGGATTACTCCAACCTGACAGATCTGAAGCCAAATACACCTGTCATGGAGGTGTTCAGTTATCTCGCATACGAAACTGTCGGGCAGGTACGTATATTGTAAGGTATTGTGCCAACTCAAATGTGGTTGCCCTGTCGTTACCATCGTTTAGTAATTGACTACTTTCTAAAATTGGACTCCTTCTACTATTGTGTTAAACGGATGAAGATGTAGATGGCGAAGGTTTCTACCAAAAAGGAATATTCACCTTCTTGGCTAGAGTCTGGAATGTCGAAACGTCGGGTCCTGAATGTAATTCTTTTATTTTCTGAATTGTCTACCAGATTGTGGACTTGGCTTTGCTGGTGAAGAAAGACAGGGAGAGAAGCGATGAACTATCAGCAGTTATGCCACTACTACGAGAAAACAACGCTTCAAAGATCAACCTTCCCTTCATATCGACACCATCAATATCTACAAGTAGGAGTTCCACCCCTACCCCGCCCAGTACCCCCACAACACCAACTGGGGGTGCTCCACCCTCGTTCCCATCAGGCACCGGAGGTACGACGGGAGGTGGGTCAGCAGCGACGTCATCAAACACAGGTGGCCTAAGTTCGTCAATAGGAACGTCGAAATCGTCAAAGAGTAAAAAGAAGAAAGCAAAGGTACTATCCTGTACGCAAAGGTATTCGATAACATGTAATGTTCCTCCCCTTCTTTGCTAAATTCTTTTACATCGATGAACTTTCATTTCGAAAACATGAATTCTTGCAGCACTTTGCGTCGAAGTTATAAAAGCTTATGCCAGGTGCCTAAATTATAGCATAGAAAATCCCAAACAACTCTAGTATTCTTACGATAGCACAGTGTTTCAACTCTATTTCATTAGCTTCTCATCATCAAGTCACATTGCCAGGATAAAGGAGAAGACTAAGAATAATTTTCTTTCTTATCTAGTTAAGTTCAATGGTTTCAAATGATCTGTATTCAGATTGTCTTCAACCAGAACATGTCCGTGAAGCGATGAGACGATACTACAGCAGTACTGGTCCAATGGCTCCGTTTTCGGTATGTTTAATAACAAAGACTTTGTTGCCAGTTGTAGATCGGCCTATTTGTTAACCTGATACAATCCCTGTACTCCCGTTGTTGGATCAGAGTGGATCATATAAAGGTGCTCCATAAGACAAACACTTATTGAAATATTTTTTCTTCTTTCCAGCCGTATATGAAGACTACGCCACCATACCGTACATTGTGTTTATGAATCTTGTGCAAGATTTTATTTCTGAACTGACTGATTTTGTTTCCGAACTTGCTACTATTATAAGCTGGCATTTTGTAAATATAGACAAAGTATTTATTATATGTTCTGTTCTAGGCGACAAATATAAAATATTAAAACCAATTTATTGTATTATTTTACTATAAATATTGTAAAAAACTTTCTAAGACCTCCGAAAGGCGTGTGTTGTGAGGTTACCGTAAAACACGAAGAGTTAAACCGTACACGAAACAGAATACTGTAGCTATATGTGACGCACAATGACCATCTTGCTGTAGTGTAAATACTGTAGGCGATGCTATCCCCATTCACACAGGATACCCAGGAACCTCCAAAATCAAAAATTGTTGCAACGCCATAAAATTCAGTCTTTATATGTACAAAGAAATTACATCAACATAATATAACTGTACAACAATTACGTTCTTTCTTGAAACCAACAAACCCCTAAATTATCATGGCAATAAAGCATCTTTCAAAAGTCGTTTTTGTTCCGAACTCAGTTTGTTCGGAAAAGCAATGTCAAAATTGATGACAAGATCTCCTCGAATATTCGGATCTTTTGACGTGGGTACTCCTTCGGCAGGCACGCGTTTGGTATAACCAGGCCTGAAAACGAGGCGCAAATATTTCACGTTAAAAAAGCCGTTTTCCGCAAATTTAAGATTTTCAGGCATTGGCAATTTGCATCAACAACACAATAGGCAATTCCAGCTCTTAGTTTATGCGTGCAGGGGACGATGGGAAGTAAGGTATCACATTGCTGATTATGCTGAAAAAATAAAAATGGTGGCCGTGTAAACACGGAGTGGTAGCTTATACTTGTAAATATTGAAATGTTTCGGTAGTTTTTACTGAAATTTTTCATCATAATCGGCAATATGATACCTTACTTCCCATCATCCCCTGCAGGCATAAACAAGCTGGAATTGCCTATTTACCAAATATTATGCAGAATATTGACTAAAACCACTTACTTGACAATGTCATTTATAGGAACACTGATCAATCTTCCATCCAAAGTTGGCACATCCACAGTGCATCCAGTTAAAGCCTGTTAAAGAATAGGACTTTCCTTACACAGTGTTAACAGGGTACAATAAACCAACACTAGGGGGGGGGGGGCAGCCCCTCCCCCCCCAAAGTCCAGATTTCTAGTGTAGGTACTCTTCTACAATAAGTTCCCATATGGATAATTTTGGATTGATGTATACATACCTTGCCTAAAGGTACAGTAGCAGTAAAGAAAAGATCTTTGCCTTCTCTTTTGAATATTGAATGAGGTTTGTCTTTCACAATGAACACAATGTCAGCTACAAATTAGAACATTAAAAATGGCAAACTCATTTAGACAAGCCATTCATTGCACTCCTGCCTCAATTGCCTTGTGCAAACCATGCTGTACATGCTTGCTATGCAGTACTGCCATACTGGAACAGGCCAAGTATGAAAATGAGGTGTATTGGTGCAATAAAGAGTTAAAGGTCTATAATTTTCTCTCATTAATAACAAGAAATTCTAGAAATTACCTGGAATATTATTTGGTCCTTGATCACCTTCATTAGGGAAAGTTATCCTAGTGCCAGACTTCCAACCAGGTTTCACGTTGATTGTGAGGATCTTATCACGAATATTTGATGTATGACCATCTTCATTCATTACCTATCAAAGTGCAACGAAAACATGAACTTATAAAGTCCTTGTTTGATTAATCCTTTGAGTGACAGTACTCTCCCATCGACAGGTAATTAACTGTCTGGTGTTAGAGTAAAATAACAAAGTATAAGCCCTCATCAGGATAAATTGCCACTTAAATGATAATGGGTCGTTCCAGAAAAGATCCATACTTCCCCCACAGAGGAAATTTCTGCCGTCCGGAGGGGGAGGGGAGAAAAAATTGTTTCTGATAATAGTAAATGTATTAGGACATCCGAAGGGGGTAGGGGGGTTAACTTCCTATTTCCTCCGTGGGGGTGGTATGGATGTTTTCTGGAATGACTCAATCCGAAGAGTTACTAAAGTTGCAAAAATCAAATATACTTTTGGAGAACATGAGCGTAACATCAACAGGCAATTACTATTGTGTGTACGCCCCAACATTTTTGCTCCCCCCCCCCCACAATCTCGAGGTCATTATGTTCGCAGAAATTCTCATAGAGATAAAGGCAATCACTTACTCTCCGCGATATTTTCATTTTCTTTGTACATCCCTTGAATACTTCCTCTAAAGTCAAATATAGCTCTCTTTCTATTGGTGGATCTTGCTTCCGACGACCACGCCCATGAGCACCTCCAAATCCAATTTCAGGATCATAATTATCAAATAACTCTGCAATGATCGAAAATAATGTGTTTTTTTTCCAGATCTTGCTATATGTTACTGGGACCATGCCCCAAGCTCATAGGGGATCCCAAATTGAGATGGTGTTATTAAAAAAACATGCTTCATAAAGAACATGGCTGTTTGCAGAGTGAACAAACGTCATACTCTTCAACTTTCATACCTCTTCACCATAAAAGAATTTTCGAATTTTTCTCTGGGAAGTACCAAAAATTCAGGCGGGGGGGAGGGGGTTGTGCCCCCCTAGAAAATCTGTCTATGCTCTTTACACTTAGCACCTGCAGCCTTGAGATGCCAGTGCAGCACTCTGACCAGTTCAGTTATTAGAGAGTGGCCCTGTTTCTGTTGTTATCAAACAATTTCTTTATATGGGTGGGTAGGAATGATCATTGGGCGTAAAAAAAAAATACCTGTAGTTCCGGTTTCATATCGTGAAAAAATTACGGTCGGTAGGTCGGAAATAAAATTTTTTTTTTTAATATTTTTTTCATGGTTTTGCCGTTTTTTTTGCTGGGCGATTTGCAGTAGAGTCCCGACATCAATATTAACTAGAGGTGCGTATTTCCTATGGACGAATTGAGGCAATTTGGTTCAATAATTATTGTAACAGACGCCATTTTGGCACGCTGTATGAGCAGCCCGCAACCACCTGTACTGGAGAAAATAGGGTCGCACGGTCAATCGCGTTGAAAAAATAATAGGGTCGGCAGAAAAAAAAGGGTCGGTCGGGAACCGGAACCACAGGTATTTTTTTTACGCCTGGGTAGGAATGATCATTGCCTTATATCCTGCAAAATCTCTCCTTGGAAATCTTTGTGCCAGTGTAGGTAAGAGCTTCGGTGACTTTGCTCGAAACGTTGTTGTTCTTGTATTTTTCCAGTAGTTACATCCCTATCAATCCCAAGCTTTCTGTATGTTAATACCCTTGCTCACCTGAAAAGGGATTGTCACCTCCAAAGAACTCTCTGAACACCTTTATAGCATCACCATGGAATGTGTAGCCTGGTGTCCATCCTCCTGTCATTGAAATTAGATGAAATTTTTCTGTCATATATCACATTGTAAAATATATCAGTGTGGATTATACCGTTTTTGCTTAGGTCTGATAAATGTCCGATCAACAAGACTGTTGCTCGGACATCGGCAAAGAATGGTCGGCCAACTATTTCGACCATTTTTACGAAAAAATAAAATGTCTTTTGTAAGTAGTAATTAGTATTGGAAACGCTATAGACTTACTATCGAGATTCGGTCACTTGAGAGAGTATTTGCTAAATGAGAAGCTCAATGACAATGTTTCCTCTGAATGCTTTTTTCATCCAAATATTTATTGATTGTAATTTGTATGGTACAGTAGGTATAGTATTCTTTTCAAACAGTACTTTTTACATAAGCTACATTCAATTAAAATGAACATTGTCTATTCTATTTGATCAGTCAAAATGTCCGTGCAGAATGAAATTGATCGGCCATTCGGTGTTTTTGTTTGGCAAATAGCCGACTGCCGACCGTTATAATCCACACTGAAATATATTGACTAGCCAGACTGTAAAATTGTGCAAAGCTGATATCTGGATATGTCCACACTGTCGTAGACAAGTCTGGAACAAGATTTTTACTTGTATACCTGTATCACTGTCTGGCACTCCATTCCTTAATCCTTCTTCTCCAAATTGATCATAGATTGCCTGTTTCTTTGCTGTAAAATAAATAAGAGAATTTCAGCAATTATACATACAAAACCATGTTACCAGTTATATAATGATACGAAGTGACTATATGACCGGCAGCCGGTCACGGTTTATAAAATACTAAATGGCCGGCAGTCTAGTGACTATAGTTAAAGTTTAATTTTTATAAGATAAACCTATCCCCAACCCCAAACCCTTTCTAACCCTAACCCCTAACCCCTAACCCTAACCTTTTGAGAGTTAGAAAAGTCGGGAAAAAAAGTTTAAAAAATTTTAAGAAAAAACAATGCTAAGTCAGACAAAACACATCGCGACCCCGACTGCGCTTAACCTTTCCGCACGCAGCGCCCTTGCCGTATGAGCTAACAGCAAGCTCGGTAAAAGTTAACGCAAACAAAAGTTTTTATATTCAACTATAGTCACTAGACTGCCGGCCATTTAGTATTTGATAAACCGTGACCGGCTGCCGGCCATATAGTCACTTCGATAATGATACGGCAGAACTTACGGTCACTTAGTATATCATATGCTTCGGCAACCTGTTTGAATTTCCGTTCAGCCCCAGGTTCTTGAGTTTTGTCTGGATGGAATTTCAGTGACAATCTTCTATACCTTCAAAGATAAAAAATGAGATATTGTTACTTTACCCAGGTGACAGACTGCCAGCAAAATATTAACAAAGTAGGGTACATATAAAATTCTTGTTTAACCCAATGTTCTTATTATATAAATTTGACTTATTATTCAATAGTCAAATTTCTTTACTAAATTACTACTGTATGAAAACAATATTGCAAAAAAATATAGACACAAGGGTTACTTTTGACACGGGTTACTAGGACAATGATGAAGTCAGAAATTTTGTACATTTCTGTAATATCATTTCTATTTAACAAATTTATACATATCCATTGGCTATATTGAAAACTAAAAAGCTGGACGAAATATGCCCTAGTGTATATACTTACGATTTCTTTATGTCTGCATCGCTCGCTCCTTTTGTGAGCTCAAGAATGCTGTAATAATCTTGACCCATTTTGTTTTTCTCTTCTCTTTCAAAATGGCCGTTCTTTTTTATTTTACATGTTGCCATGACAACCTTGTTGCCATGCAACCACGTGCTGCGTGGATGCCACGCGTATCCCACGCGAGAATCCCGGGGATACGCCTCTGAGTATTAATCTCGTAGGGTAAAATGTCCCTACGAAATACGTCCCTACGAAATAAGTTCCCAGGTACAATTCTCGAAGAGTAAAGTACCGGAGATAAGATCCTAGGTAATAAGTTCGCAAGAACAATATAAAAAACATGGCTGCAATTTCAACGTGTCGTTTTCACCGGTTTCTGAAGAAATCTATGGTTTGTAAAAACCTTACTTCATCTCTGGTTGCAAAGAATCAAGCAAAGCATGCTTCTACTTTCACATATGTTGCTGAAACACCTCAGACTGATGGTATAAAATATTGTACTATTTACAGTAATATTTGTATAAACTTGAAAAAATCTTATAAACCATTAATATTGTATCAAATTTCCTTCCCATCTTTAACATATTGAATGTATTGTCCAGCCACAATTTGAATGTAACAGTTATTGTAAGCCTGTTACCCATTCTCGTACCCAGAGCCCTTCTTACGCGCGGTGCGATGAGGGGCTCTGGCCAAATCCATTTTAACCGGATACCATAAAAACATGGTAAGAAAACAATATCCGGTGTTAGAACTAGCCAATCAGATGCCAGTTCGGAATATGGATTTGGCCAGAGCCCCTCGTCGCACCGCGCGTAAGAAGGGCTCTGGGTACGAGAATGCCTGTTACCCTAATCCAACCTCATCGGCTCGTCCCAGGGCCCTGACCCCACAGGTTCTCATGGCAAGGTCACAATTTCTAGAGGGCTGCAGATCTTGTAAACAAAATGATGTGTCTTTACACGATTACGCAGGCCCTGCAGAATCTGTGTGTGATCTTCCCATGGTGCAGCTGGGCCTGCAGAATCTGTGTGTGATCTTCCCATGGTGCAGCTGGGCCTATGTTGGAGGCAGATCTTAATCCCAACCTTGATCCCTATGCTGATCCTATTATGTATATTAGGAGAAGTCAAAAGAATGAACTTATTCCAGGCTTTAACAGATGCAATGGACATTGTACTAGAGACTGATGAATCTGCTGGTATGTTTGAACACCTCCACACTTAAGCCCATTTTTCCACTACACAAATTTGTTCGTGCAAAGCAACTTTTTCCTTTGTCTGCATCACATATCACAAAGCAAAAGCGATGCGACAAAGGAAAGTTGCTTCGCACAACTTTGAAAAACAAACTTTAAGCATTGATCTGTATGTCATATTTACCATGAGGGGCCGGTCGTGTTTGAATATTGAAATATTGATATATAAGCATTTGATTCATATTGTAGTTATATTTGGTGAGGATGTGGCATTTGGAGGGGTGTTTAGGTGCACTGTTGGACTCAGAGATAAATATGGTAAGTTATAGTCAACAAAGCAATTATGACTTATTTTGCAGACTGAGATTTGTCCTATGATTTCAAAACAAATGATTATGTTATTCTATAATTTGTTTCTAGGTAAAGACAGAGTATTTAACACTCCATTATCAGAACAAGGAATTGTCGGGTTTGGGATAGGCGTGGCGACTGCTGGGTCAACAGCCATCGCAGAAATCCAGTTTGCAGATTACATTTTTCCTGCTTTCGACCAGGTACAAGATGAAGCCAAAGTAACTTTCAAAACCTCATGAGCATTTCAGCAAATTAAATGAGTAAATCACATTACACATTCCACTATTTTTAGTTATTAAATGAAGCAGCCAAATTTCGATATCGAACTGGTAATTTATTTGATTGTGGCAAGTTGACAGTTCGGGCACCATGTGGAGCAGTTGGTCATGGAGCTTTGTATCATTCACAGTCAGTTGAAGCATTTTTTTCACATATACCTGGTTTGAAGGTCAGTAGTGTTAGACTGTCTTCCTCTTATCTATGACCTGAATCTATCCCTCCCTTATTGGATACTACCGTTATTTGAAACTCTCTTTTGAAAGGTTGTAATACCTCGAGGACCAATTCAAGCAAAAGGATTAATGCTTTCTGCGATCAGGGATCCTAATCCAGTTATATTCTTTGAACCCAAAGTCTTGTACCGACAGGCTGGTAAGAGAATCTGTTTGCTGTTATTGTAAAATAATACAAGGTGAAATTACTTTTAACCAGGTTTGATGAATTTGTTTTGTTGTATTTAACTTGTAGTTGAAGATGTGCCAGTGGGTGATTATGAATTGCCTTTATCAAAAGCTGAAGTTCTTATGGAAGGTTTGTATTCAGAGAAATTGTTAACTAATTTCAAAGTTGACTAGTGGTAGCAAGCATCAGTGACAAGTGACATAAGTAATAAGACTGGTCTCTTCTGGATGCTTCTATTTGTTTCACTGAATATGAGAATGCCTGATTACAGGGGGAAGGATTAACTCCCCTGCCCTCTCAGAAAGACAGCTGATTCCCCAGAGTCTCTACACACTAAGTCTAATCTAGCCCACGTGCAGGCCCACCAAGGGCTAGGTCTAATCATGTGGAATGTGTACACACTATGTACCTATTTTTTGTTCCAGGATCTGATGTTACAATGGTAGGTTGGGGAACTCAATTGCACATCTTACGGGAGGTTGCAAACATGGCAAAAGACCAATTAGGTGTTTCCTGTGAGTTGATAGATCTGAGGACGATTTTACCTTGGGATATTGAAACTATAGAACAGGTTTGTACCAGAAACTATGCACAGTGAGTCCCAGCTATACAATTGTTCATGCTTGCATAACATGATAATTGTTTCTTCAACTTTCATATTCAACTATTTTTTATAGTCTGTGAACAAAACTGGGCGGCTAATGATTGCACATGAGGCTCCAAAGACGAGTGGGTTTGGTGCTGAAATAGCTAGTACAATACAGGTGGGTATCTCTTCTATATTTTAGTTCATATATTTTACCAAATTATGAATGTGCAACACTTTTCTTAATGCATACAATTATCTGATAGAGAGTGTTAAAAATCATCTGGTAATAGACAAAGTAAAATTGTATGGTGTATGAAGACATAGTAAAATTGTCTGGCATTAGACAGCATGCAGGTCTGTTCATGGCTAACACAACACATGGAGTAGTTGGTTGGCAATGATGTGGAAAACTCTTGTCTTGACAAGTAAAATCATTCCCTATGCTCTATTTTTCTTATTTCTTTAGGAGCGCTGTTTCCTATCACTAGAAGCTCCAATTCAACGTGTATGCGGCTGGGACACACCGTTTCCTCATATATTTGAACCTTTTTACATTCCTGATAAATGGAGGTGTTTTGAAGCAATTAAGAAAATGACAAATTTCTAGTTACGTTTCCTAGAATATAACGTTACAATTGAATTCCAGAAAATAAGGGAGATTTAAATTCAGGGCAGCAACTTGGTTGGAAGAAAACAGAGCTCACATAATTTTATGGGTTGGAATCCTGAATTTAAATCCCATTTTGAGGAATTCAGTTCACAACATGATCTAATAAAAATAACATAATAAAGGTCTTTGTTATGCGAGCTACTGTACTCCTCCACATTGAAAATGACAATGGTTGCTATAACAATGAAGTTCAATGGTGAATGGTTGCTATATTAGTGGGCAAGACCCCAGTTACATAATACCGGATCCGCTTGCCACAGAATCAAATTTAACAGTTTCAGGAATCTTGAAATTGCGGTTGTTTTATAACAAAAAGATCAGAAGGTGAACGGCATAAAGTTGATGTCATGTGGTTGAATGTCACGTATAATTCCTGTAAACAAGTCTGACAAAGTGAACCGGTATCGTGTTTATGAGAAAAGTTTGGCACAAAATTTACAGAAAAAATAGTGTAAAGTAGTACAGGTACCTGTGATCATTCCTAATGGCTTTTAGCGGCACCTTCCTCTTCTTTCTGTTATCTTTTTGTATTTTTTTCTTCGTAAAATGCCTTCCTGCAGCGAAAATTCTTGTGCCGTTTATTAATATATTCCCGCCTCAAGTTGACAACCAATGAGATACTAATATTTGCAAATATATAGTTGGGAGAATTTACCTTCAATCGTAAAATGGCGAGGAAAATGCTAATTAGTTCTTTTCTGCATGTTCTATTACATTTTTCGTAGTAAACAACATTTGAAAGTAATTTAATACCTGTAATCAAAAGAAGAAAATGAGGCGCCTTGGAAAACATCCAAGGATCAATTTGTTTTGAAAAAAGTCCAAACACACATCACGTTTGTCATATATCAAAATCGGCATATAAACCAAAGTGGTACGTGATTTTTCATGATCAATTAAAATTATATTATAAATGTGGGCTTCATTGTTGGCAGTATTTTACAACATTTTTCGTGGTTCGTGTCTAAACTACCTGGAAAACATTGACAAAATATCGGCGTCTCACGCAAAGCCCCTTTGTCAGTTACTGGCAACATATCGAAGATATTTTCAGCCAGTTCAGAGACCAACTACGCCAGTGTATATGGCATAGGACAATTAGTGCATTAATTTAAAGGTCAGAGTTAATTTGCAATAAACCATTGTTTTATCCTCACAATACACATACTAGTTTAATCTACCTTTGTTTACCTAAAACAAATACAGCTCCACAATACAATGAAATTGTATACCGAGTATATTTAGCAGTAATTACTTTGGTATTAGTAGTGAAAATAAAGCTCAACCCCCATGTACATACAATGGTACTCCTCGGTCATTCTGCAAATGGGTTCGATGATCGATAAACTTGAAGGTAATTTATTCTGTGCCAGCTTCCCACTCGAAAAAGCTGATGTATACCAGTTTGTGTAATAGTCAACTGGCTAAAGTTCTCCAGTTGGTGATTAAAATATCGACCCATGGTGAAATTGCACAAAAGCTGCGGATCAATTGAGATACAATTACCCGAAAAAATGGAAAAGTAACTTCGACGGTTTTTGGCTCGAAACATGTCTATCAATGCGCAGTTTTCTTAAGCTTACTGTTTTACAAGGTCGTCGAGTGTCAGTCTGTCAGAGATACTGAAATACTTCAGCTATATTCCTATAACCTTTGTGTTGCATCAGTGTTGAAAGGGTCTTGAGTATATAATTCAGTATTAACGGAAACTATGAGAGGCGTATATTAAAAGACATACAAAGACGATTTAAAGCGCAATAGGCTTTCTTTGCAGCAATAACTTCCCATCTGCGCGTAACTTTATAGCTTAAACATAGTATACTTGTATATTTTATATACACGGGGATTTCTTCTTGTAGTTCCAACATCGTGTAAAAATTGTGGTCGGCAGATGTAGCGATAAACTGCCTTCTTTTGTCGAGGAAAACGATTATCAGCAATCAGTATTTTCAAGAATAAAGAACGGCATGAAAATTACAGTTTTATACTGTACTTTAATTAGCTTTTTGTTCCAGAATGCGGAAAGTGTAAACATGTTTGTTCATAGCGCTGTACGTTCGTCCGATCGCAACGGGGTAGATAAATGGCTGCGCGCACTAACTAGTTGGCAAAATTAGACATCGTCTTCCTTTTTGGCTTCGTTTCGGGTTTCTCAAAGTTGGAAGTTGAACATGCGATGAATATTTTATGTGTTACGTGTATACTGATTAAAATCTGATAAATATATGATAACTGGGTGGCCTCAGACAAAACAAAAAAAATTGCTTGTATAAATGTTGAACAAAACTGTCAAAGCACAAACTATGAAGACGGACATTGGACGAGAAATTGTACTTTCACTTTTACGGCCAAAAGATTTATGAAGGTCGAATTATTTTGAACACATAAATCAATTCAAAGGGTCACGGCATTTTGAAATGGACGCCACTTTGAACAGCTATTAAGTTTAAGAGGCCATCTTTTATTAGACGCAGTAGGCGTTATATTTGCATGAGAAGCACCACTTTCAGAACCGAGTAAAACTGTACGCAGCGAAGCAGTGAAAAACATTAAACACCGAGCTTTACTTATTAAAATACCAATTAATTCGAACCTAAATTGTAACATTTACTTGTTCTAAGTTCCTTTTCGAATGTTTCATGTAAATAGAAACTTCTAATAAACGCAGTTAAAATACTCTCCTCATTAGGTACCATGACGATATCAATGTAAGAAAACTATGCGGTATTATTTCAACTTCCCTATCAGATACGAGGCTCTTAGCAACCCGAAACAACTTCGATAATATTGTGACTTAACACATCGACGATCTACATACTCCATAATTTGCAACAAGCGTTAATCTAATTTACTTTTGCTTCAGAGCCAGCTAATATTAAGAAGGGAAATTACTAGAAATCAGCTGGCCTTCGTTCAAATGATAGACAAAAACAAAATGAAAATTTTAACCGAGGTCATAAGCCCAAGGCTTACTTATGACATATCGGTATTAAAACAAGTAGGAATTGTGGTTGGCACAACACACAAAGTCAGTTGGGTTTTTCGTTAAGTTTTTATTGACAATTTTTAAGTTGTCTTTTTTACAAAATTAGTGCTACTATCAGCCCCAGCGGTGTGCTGAAGCGTATTACGTTTCAAAAATATATTGAAAGAAGCGAATTTACACATTTGTCACTTCGCTCAAAATACAGATTTTATGCTTCAGTCTCCAAGTCGGTTTGGTGAAGAAACCGATTGTCCCAGGTTAAAAACGTGCTACTTAGTTGAAAAATTAACTCGGGTCTCGCGCAGGAAACCCAAAAATAACCACAACGCAATTTAAAGTCCTCTCTCATCCTATTGTAAACAAACCATAAAATGTTCGCTACACACTCTACATTACGGCTAACTTGAGCACTGCAGTTTATACACCGCAACAATAAAAAGCCAGAAATATAGTTATATAGTAAATCCCAACAACATACAATAGCCCATATATATATATAGGACTCAAACATGTTCCCAAGTTTATTGAGGTAAGTAGCCAGAAATAATTATTCAGCGTCGAGGATCGCGCACGAATAATAATACAGTGTTGTGTATTCTTGGTTATACTGTAAAATACGGACCCAACAGTTTAACTGGCCATCGGAGAGCAATGGGGGTAGAATCGGTATCGATGGTGGTGATGGCTGTGGTGATTTCTGAATCCTGGTCCCTTGTAGTAGCAATTGGCTGCTTGAAATCGCGCAGGTATTGGCCTAAAATAGTAGTTCATTCCGAGCAAACCATGTTCGATATTGTTCGCCAGTTGCTCAATAAGCATCAGTGTCTGTTTACGTTCGTGACCCATGAGACATACAGTGGAAGTGGCGATTGTGCGATGCAAGATTCGCAGGTATTCGCATTTGACGCGCTCTTCACCGTGAAAATGGTCTTGTAAATATTTCTGCAGTTTTTTCACTTGTGTGTCGAGATCTCCGAAGTCGATAAAGAACCGACTACACATGTAGCGCTCCATAATTTTGATTTCCCTGCGATCCTCAGGTGTGTATCTCTTTACCAAAAGATTGCAGTACTTTAGCAATCCACCACCACGAATTTCCTCAGGATTTCGAGTAGCAATTAACCGATTGTCCAAGTGGTGCAGCGCAATTCCGATATCCCCATACACTGACTCGGCGAGGACTGTAGGGAAAAAATTCGGCTTGATAGGCAGAGTTGAGAGCTTAAAGAAGCTCAGAAGCGAGTCCAAGTTAATTTGAAATGAATCGATGGAGAATTCGAACGGTCGTTTCATGGTATCGACAAATTTCAGCTCAACATTTCGTCCATCGTTGTTGGACAGTGAAATGAGTGACCACCGGTTCGAATCGTCGGTAACTTTTACCAATTTCTTCACATACGCATCTTTTAACGTTGCACTGCACATTCGATTCTTGCTCACTCCTTCGGGTAAGAAATCCGTGAGGGCATCCATAACGACGTCAAAAATCATATGAATTCGCTGTGGACAGGTTAAATCGACTCCGAATATTAAGTCTAAGTCATTGAATATATATTTCTTATCTTGACACAGCACAAAACTCGCGGCGCCGCCGTTTAAACGAATATCGCGAAGTTTCACGCCTTTCTCACGCAGACGGGAAGATACGGCTTCGACAAGGTCTTTCAAGACGACTTGGATGGTAGGGAAGTTGCCACGACCGTGAATCTCAACTTTTCTGCTTAGCACTTCTCCCAGACGAACGACTTGTCCGTATGTCAGCACGGCGAATCGCTTCGCTTCGCTTTCTGGCATCGTTGCAAATTGTTCCATGGTTTTATTCGGTTTTCTTTTGCTCTGTTTTTAGCTTGGATGTTATCTCGATAGACTTGAGTTTGCTTCGCTACGGTTGATAGATTAAGGTTTTTTATACGACTTCGGTAATTGAACTTCTACAGAGAAGTGCCAGGAGAAGTGCTGAAGCGAGTTTTCTACACTCTGTGTGATTTCGGTTTGTTTACATTGCTGCGCTGTGATTGGCCGAGACACACAATCATGCGTAGTAACAAATAACAGAATCAATTAACGCGTGACGAAACAATTGACCGGAAGTGACCTACTTGACAACATCCTGTCAAGGACGCGCGCATTGCTCATTAATATGCGATTATGGCAAAACATCTTGCAAACGCTCGTCCCACGTTCGGTTTATTACAAAAATTCAACACTCTTAATAATTGAAAGCTGACTTGCGAATTTTTATTTCTTTTTACGAAAAACTAGCAAGAATTTTTAAACCAGAAAAGTTTATTGGCAATTTCTGATTTTTCTTTTCATAATGACTGCTAAATAAAAATAAAACGATTGACCAGTATAAAATGTTGAGAGCAATATTTTTAATTCAATATTCTAGTAGACTGCTTGCGTTCATTTCAAGTATTAAGGGGTCGCCTGTAGGCGGTTATAACCTAATGTGTTTTTTCAATAATTACAATACGAAACTCATTCTAGATGTATAGTAGTTACTTCCTCCTCTTGTTTGAATACGAAATACAAGCGTGGGATTACTCAGCAAAATAGACGATTCTGGTATTGCGCAAACATCCAAAGAACGGAAACCATGAGGGTGAACAAGTTTGGGCAAGACCTAATATAAAGGCAATCTATATAAAAGCAATGTTTACCAAGGTCAACTTTGCCGCTTTCACTTTCGCGCTTAAAATTGAGACGTGTTATATATTTTCATAATCTAGCAATAATTGTATTAAAATTTCAGCTACTATTAAAAAATTGCGTGACAGTTCATCTCGTTTGCGAAGACAATGTGTTACATGCAGATTGTTTCTCGGATCTGTAGCGCTGAAGTTGACGTGCGTCAAATAATAGTTACAGAAAAGTTGGAAAGACGAATCAATCTGTAAAAGCATTAAAATATATATTACTGAATATGACGACTGAGTCATTTGTCACAGCCTGGAGTTTCGTTTCTGCTTCTTTTATATATAAAAGTGAAAGTGCGCAATTTGCGGTCAAAATATCGCTGAGTGCACAAAATATCGAAGTGTTGATTGGTCTCACGCTGGGAGGCCATCCTAGAATATAATGTATACTTCCAGTTTGAAGATAAAGACAGATTAAAACCTATAAACGGTTCTGTGACCAAATTTTGTTATCGGGAAGCGAGAGGAAGAGTCTGGCAGATTTCGGAATCGAACCCTATTACTGAAAGTCGTTTCACACTTGTTTTACAATTTAATACCAACTCTGTTATATTTCAAGTTTATATTATTTTTTTTTCGCAAAAAAGTAAAAATATAAAAAATAACGACAAACGAAAGCTATTAATACATCGGTCGGCATCAGCCGGCAGCTGGAATACAAATATAGAATATATTACGTCGGAACACATCGACTTTCAGAAACAATAGCTCGTGGGTTGCTCGGGGGCGGACTTCGGCGTCATTCGCCAGCTGCTCGAGTAATGCAAATGCAACAGATATCGTGTAGGAGGGACAGCTGCGCCATCATCAGATGAAGGATAAAATCAATTTTCTTTAAACGAAACGATAGTCGAGTTCCCAACAGTGTAACTGATAGAAAAAAAGTTAAAAAATATTAAAATTAAACGATTTTAACTTTTTGACCAAACTGCAAGCCAATTTTGTATAGCCCTAAATATTTTCATTGCGCCAGTTACAAATTTGTTCTCAAAACATTTGGCATTGATAAACAATTTACCTTAAATTAAATGAAAATTCAGAGAGATCGTCTGAGCGAGAAGATGAAAAATATTTAATTAATCTATATTCAAAAATATTTTTTACTTCAATTCTACAAGAGATTCTATAGGTATCACACTGTATGAGTCTCAAAAATATACTGCATCACCAAACATTGTTCGCTGTAACATGACCTAATAGCCATACTTTCATTAAAAATATTTGTACAACACTTGAATTGACGAGCAACTGAAAATACAGTAATTGTAAATAGCAAAGCATATAGAAATTAAAAATTACTGCGGCATTTAATCATTTTACCAGTTTTGGTCAAATTAAAATCTACATACAGGCAAAAAACGTTCATAAAAATCACATTGAATCGAAATGATTTGTTGAAGAAGCGAGTTTACAAAGGAACGACGCGCCGTTAATTTATTTCAGAACGGAAATAATGTATAATTGAAGAAACTAACAATAAATTTAGTGAAAAATGATTTCGATATACATATATGTTTTAACTGATATTGATATTTGTGAGACTGTGCCTGTCTGTGGTTAATGCGTGGACATTTCATATCTTTGACTGAACTTCGATTCCTGTAATAAATCTAATTATACTCACATACGTAAAATGAGTGTTTGGTAGGAAATAGTAACACAGGACTAATATGAGACGGTCTTTACTAAAGGGAGAACTGTTTATTCTTAGAACTGACAGTAGATAGGAAAGTACAAGAGTTGATACGCTTCTAGACCGCCTATTTCACTCCCTAAAAAGGTCACGGCCTCATTGGACATGGCTTCTTCAATTGTTGAAAATCTTATATCATATGAATGCAAATCTTTGTCAGAGAAAAAAATCAAACAACCAAATAAAACATCCAAATAAACCATCCGATATTTGATAAAACACAAAAGAATAATCTATGATCTACTAGCAATAAGAGCAATATATCAATGTCCGCTTTTGAACAATATATCACCTAGGCAACGGCATAGAGTGAATTTTCTTTTTATTTAATTATGTGATTTTTATCTCGTTGCACACTCTCAAGGACTCAAACTTCGTCCGGTTAAAACGTCCCTAAAAACACACACTTACGTATTAGGAAGTAGTAAAAATCAAGTTTTGCTTTTGTGGAAAGTGGAAAACATTCGGTTATCAATCGCTTGATCATAACTTCAAGAAATGCAGATCTTAATACATCAGTGCACTGAATGATATTACTTGCAATGACATGCATTATCCGGAATTACGGATCAAAAGCTTTCAATAAAAATAACCATGAACATATCAGTTATATCTTCATGTAAGTCTACAAGAAAAATGCGAAGCTATTAATGCGAAATAATTCATTTAATTTTATTGTATCTGTGGATTAATACTATTTTAGTGAAACCATCTGTGACTATTACTGTGACTCATAATACTGCAAACTTTGACTTCTCAAATTCTAACGACTATAAGCTTCCCTTTTTAATTCTTTCATATACTCATTATTCAATAGATACAGACCTTTTCCAAATAAATTACAGTGTTTATTACGAAAGATACAGACCTTTTCCAAATATATTACAGTGTTTATTACGAAATGGGTATTATTGTTTAGTTATTGTATATTGTATTGTTAACAATGCACTTAATACAAAGAAGATTGACAGCAAGCAGTCTGATGGTGCTGAAGGAAGACGAAAAGTCGGAAATAGTTCATTAATTGAAATGAGGAAGTTTTTGTCAAATTTGACAGTAATCTAAGCCAGACATGCACTTGCCAGAAACTATCCAAACCTTCGTCCATATAATCCTTCAATTTGCAACACAACAACAATGAACTGTGTTAGTTTGCAAAGTTTTCAAATAAGCAAGTTTATATTTACAAAACTTAATATAGATCAATTTGGAGTGTCCACTGCGCATCCAAATGACGCCGTTCTGCGCTGGGGATAAATTGCATTAGTTGAACTGTAGCTGTATATTGACGAATTTTAGCCAAGAAAGGTTTGCTTAGCATCACTTAAAAAGCGTAATAAAATTAAATGTTAGAATGCTAAACGTTTAAAATAGTAAAAGTTATAAAAATCCCTTTCGACACTTGTTTTATAACTTTTATTACTAATTGGCAGTTTACTAGTTTCGTCGTTAGATCTCTTCAGAATCCTCCATTTTGTTAAAAAAAAAACATTTAATTAAACAAAACATTTTAACAAAACATTTTTGAAACAAAATGGCGGATTCTGAAGATAACAACGAAACTAGTAAACCGCCAGTTAAAACAACTGTCGAAAGGGATTCTTATAACTTTTAGTATTTCAAACATTTAGCATTTTAACATTGTAGGCCATTGTAACCGAGACTGGAAGAACCACAATATGCATATCAGACTCTTCAACTGTTAAATTATTATTTGAATATGCAAAAGTTTCTCAAAGAACAACTATAGTTCCGCTTTAAGTTAGAAAATACTGCACATTCCTTCAGGTGTATCTCACTTTATTTTGCTTTACAGTTGGAAAAATACGCTAGTGCAAAATGATTTAATTTGCAATTCTATTGTGGCTATATAAATTACAATTTAAAATTTAATTGAATCATATAAGCATTGACTGAGTTTGCCTAGCCAGTTTATAAATCACCATGCAAATGAAACATCACACCATGGTTGAAAATTCTGGAAACTATTTTTTGCCTCAGAGAGATAGCTGATAAGCAAAATCATACATGCATTTTACCACATCCAAAGAAGTGCTTTAGGAGTGCTCATGTACCTTACGCAGTCAAGAAAACCTTTGTTGTTCGATCAGTTTTTTAACACCCCCCTCACCCCTCACCATGTGCTATATATCCGACTATCCCAGGGACACGCTTGAAAAAAGTCTCAATCAACTCTTCACGTTGCGAATTATTGGGGAAGGAATAAATTGCGTAGAAAGTTCTTTCATACAATTGTTACGAGGTCTGCGCTCTATTTCTCAACGCCTATAATTTAGTCATATTCTTTAAATTATTGCTCATTTATAGTAAAAATAATATTTGAGTTGTTGGAGAATTATTATTTGTAGAATTGGAATAATACCGTGCCTGATGAGCCCTCTATAGATCTGTATTGGTCTGCGGTTTCCATCCCGTGTGATAATTGGTTCCATTAACCTGAAAAATTAAATAAAATTAATTGAAATTTATATTTAACAAATATAAAACATTTTCCGTGTTGATATACAGTTAATATATAGAAAGAAATTTCCGTGTTGACAGAGAGTTATATCCACACGGCTCTTAGCCAATCAGCGTTCAGAATTTACAAATGCTATATTATAGATTACTATATTTCCTTCAATAGACCATTTCCGAATTACGCTGTAATTATCAAGAACAATAACACTAAGTCGTAGAGCCGAGGTGTCGGATTGATAAAGTTGTTTCGTAGTCGGATCGGACTTCGATATCCGAAATAAAATGAATTAATTATCCACGCATTATCGCAAGAATTAATTATCCATGCATTTATCAAAGCATCATCGCGGTTGTCGCTGCATTATTCGTTTGATACTTCAATTGGACGTCACTTTGTCAGCTTCTTGACATGTATTTCTTGCTTTTATATTTATTTGGTTAAATATTTCAACTTGAATGAGAAATTTATTTTATTAAAGAATTCTTCGGATCGGATCGGATTGGAATTCTTTATCAAAACTCGGATCGGATTCGGATTAGACAATTTCGGATCGGATCGGATTTTAAACATTAGGCATTTGTCGGATTATAAACGTCCAATCCGATCCGATGCACAACGTCTAGTAAGTCGAGGCTCAATTTTAATACCAGAAGTTCCTATGTCAAGGAAAGTGCTGCCTCAAACAGGAATGTCCCAAGAATACCCATTCACCGTACGTTGGCATCACCTTGAGTATATATACATGAACTTGTGGCTAGAGCTTGACAACACACACACACACTCTCTCACTCTCTCACTCTCTACTCTCTCTACTCTCTCTACTCTCTCTACTCTCTCTACTCTCTCTACTCTCTCTACTCTCTCTACTCTCTCTACTCTCTCTACTCTCTCTACTCTCACTCCTCTCACTCACTCACTCACTCACTCACTCACTCTCACTCACACTCACACTCACACTCACACTCACACTCACACTCACACTCTCACTCTCTCTCTCAGTTGGTTAGTGCGTAACCTGCGATCAGGCCTATAAGATCAGGTTAGTTAGAGCGCTGCACCGGAATCACAGGGCAGCAGGTTCGATTCCTACCAGAGGGGCCTGTAGTTGCATTTTTCGCTCCTGGTTAGGTCTGGTAAATGTATAAAATTCCACTCAAAATTTCCATCCATACAAATCCCCTCATGTCCCCAGAAGGAGGACTGTCCTCAATTTAAACTTCTCTATTATATGCAAATTACGCCTTTGTGAAACTTTAATACACTACCTGAAGCAATGGGCAATTCCAGGTATAGACTAAATTTTGATCTAGGCAAGAAGAACAAAATCGATCCCCACAGCTAGAAAGAGCATGTTAAAATTAGTAAAACTGCAAAGTTTGGTTTGCAAAATGTTGTAAAATGAGGAAAATATAGCCCTACGAAATTTGCAAATTTTGTATTAATTTGTATTACGCACGGGAATTTGCACCACTTTCGGCCCAAATGTGGTGCATTTTCCCGTGCGTAATGCAAATACAAAATTTGCAAATTTCGTAGAGGTATATTTTCCGCATTTTAAAACATTTCGCAACCAAACTTTGCAATTTTACTAATTTTAACATGCTCTTTCTATGGGGATGGATTTTGTTCTTCTTGCCTAGATCAAAATTGAGTATATAGCTGGAATTGCCCATTAATTTTTATGATAATTTATCTTTTTCGTACTAATTTTTTTCATTGCTTAGCCTGTGCACTGCCTGGATATACAAGAGTAAGCCTGCATCTATGGCAGCTAATCTTTGCTTTGGATATTTCCCCTAATATATGTTCAGCAGACTATAGCCTTCCATCACTATGTTGATTATTTAGCAATTATTGCATTCCAATCCAACTGTTTGCACAGTACCCCTAAAAATATTAAAGTAATCTATTTCGGATGAAAAGATCTGAACAAACATTTCAAACAAAGCTATTCATAAAATATTCATCTGTTAATTGGAGAAAAGGAATTTAGAGCAAAAATGATTGTGTAAACACAAGTATAGGATTTAATCATTTCAGAAACAAGACATATTAAATTAGGGGAAATAACAACCTCGTCGTCAAGTTTCCCCCTCTTCTTCCCCGATTGCAAATTTGGTTTTCTCCAATAATTTGAAAAAGTTTATTCAAGGTTGCATATACATGGACAGTAGACGAAATTGACTTTTTTTATACGGTTTAGCTCTATTAGCTCTGGAGTGTTCTTCCAAGAGGTAAAGTGATGGCTATCACTCATTGATCCAGCCCGAGGAAAACCAAATTGAATTAATTCATTTTATACAGATGAAGTATTCTACTAAGAGGTGCTGCAAGGGCCATCACTTATTGCACCAGTATTACTGTACAGGAGGGAACCTAAGATAAACAAGCTTTATTTATACATGATAGCTCTATTAGTACCAAACTGTTCTCCCTATAGAGGTCCACTATAGGAGAAAAGCTGAAGTAAAGTAAGTTGATTTATGCTGGATCGCTTTATAAGTTCTACAGTGTTTGCTGGATAGCTTTATAAGTTCCATAGTGTTTCCCCTAATGCAGCTACAGTAAGCAGAGGTCCTTGTTGCTCAGGCATTTCTGGACAAAACCGGAATACCAAAAAAAACTGAGTTTTGTAGAACTGCAAATATACTGAGACGATATTACAATCAGGAAACTGCGAATCAATAAGTTCTTTGTACGTTTGCATGGCGATAAATATAATTAATTTGTTGGTTTTTTTGTGGGAAAAACGAGCGCTTGAGAGGTATGAATTGAAAGATTTACCAAAAATAAATGCAGACAGTGGTGTTTTTTGTTCAAATGAATTCAACTGCACAGTCGATATATTGAACACCTGTGGCTGTGGAGACAGATGTGAAAGAATTAGATGTGTAGTATAAGTTACATGTGTTTTTTTAGTATAACAAAAAAAACATCTAACAGAATTCTTTCGAAGCTGAGACGGTTGCTAAGAAAATCGAAAAGGTTTCGAGTACTTCCGCAGACAAGTATAAAGTAAAACTTACATTTGCAAGACTTTAGTGTTGATACGCGATGACTACCAATATTTTATTGCGCCAGTCAACTATATGTGATATTATATACGACATAACGTATTTACGTAACCTATTTAAAGGACTAAAGTACTCAGGTATATTGTAATGAACAGAAGAAATATTTAAAAACCTACGCAACAGTAGAAAAACACAGTTGTGTGACTTGATGCTATATACAGGGTTTCTCCAGGTGTCATTTTCCTGTACCAGGAATGGAGGTCCGTTTACACTTGCAATTTCTGCTGTGATTCTGGATGCGATTTTCTTCTGATGGATGTGAACGAGTGGATGAGTTACGAATGTTCAGATGAAGGTACATATACTGAGATGAAGGTACATGTACAATGATAACTCATCTACTCGTTCACATGCATCAGAAGTAGAAAATCGCACTAGAAATCGTAGCAACAAGTGCAAGTGTAAACAGGCCTTCACTAGACCTTTTCCTGTGATTTCTATTGTGATTCTCTTCTTCTGCTGGATGTGAACAAGTAGATGAGTTATTAATGTTCTGAGTATATGAACCCCCATCCGTACGTTCGTAACTCATCCACTCGTTTACATCCGTCAGAAGAAAATCGTAATAGAAATCGCAATAAAAATCCACAGCAAAAATTGCAATTGGACCTTTAGAACTAATAAAGCTATTCAGCATAAATACATGTTATTCACCTACAGTAACATTGCTGGTCTGTCTGGACCGGCTGAGTGTAACACTTTAGAACTAATAGAGCTAGCTCTCCAATAAAGTTAGTTCAGTTTTAGTGTTTAACAGTTTAAAAGGGTCACTTTGGAGAAACACTTTGGTAAACACTTTGGAGAGTTCCGGTCAATGTAATACCATGAAGTAACCAGACATCATTAAAGTGCCCGAGCGTGCGAGCACTGTTCGCAGGCGCCTGTTGCATCTGTGCCCGCACATTTTGAAATCTCCCTCAAATCCAGACATTAGGGAGAGATGATGAAAAAATAATGGTGCTCAATCCCCCAAATTGACTTGAATAATTTGTATTGATCACTTGAAGGTCAATATAAACAAACTGGACTAACCTTATTGTCGCAGTCCATAATAAACTGAGGTATATCCAACTGTTCAGGACTGACAGAGTCGTAAAGAAATTCCACTCCCGTCAGAAAACGAACTTTGTGTTTCACTTCAGGAGCAGTGAAGGTTGTGAACCACCAGGTCATAAATTTTGTACGGAACGTCGGGTGTACTACATATAAACATTTTAAATTCTTTTCATATCTAGGAGAAAATAGAGATATAATACTTAGTTTTAAGGATAATCTTGCATCAGAAATTCTATTAGAATTGATTTAGAATAGTGAAAAATTTAGGACATTTAGGAACATGTAGTATCTCTGCATGATTTACAGTAATTATATGTAACTCTACTTATATTCAAGTAGCTTGTTCATAACATCGAGTTACTTAAGGATAACCCACATTCAACAATAACGCACACTCCTGCCTCATTCACCCACAGTGGCGTAACGGGAGGGTGTCAGGGTGTCCAGAGACGGGGGGCCCCCCGAACTTTAGGGGCCCCCAACAAAAATGACCTTAAAAAATTTGATAGCACATTTCTGGGGAATTGAATTAATTGAATTGAATTGAATAAAAAAAACCCATTCTCTGGTAAAGGCAAAATCCGTCGAGAAATTTCCCGAAGCTGCAACGGATTAAGTACGTCGCGGCTGAGGTAAAGGACGAGATACTAGAATGAATTAATTGCAATTTCATTGGGTCTGTCCGGAAAAAATTTTGGACCCCTAAAATGGTACAATGTCCGAAAATTTTTTGGCTACGGGGGGGGGGGTCGCCAAAAATAAATTGTTCCGAGAAAAATTTTTGGAGCCTATTTTTAGTGTAGCAAAGGGCCCCAAAGTGGCCGATTGACGGAGGGCCCCCAGCGGTTGCGTTACGCCACTGTTCACCCAAATAGGCCTACCTCAATAAGAAAGCTTCAAATTGATCGAGATACAACTATATGAAAAAAATACAAGGAGAATTTCGTTTCGGAGACATTTCGAGCGAAGGCACTTCTTACTACTGACTAACTGACAAAGTGCCTTCGCTTGTAATGTTGAAGTTCTCATTGTATTTATCAGGTAGTTGCATCCCTATTAATCCAAATTATTATTGGCATGACCAGTACACTGGCACAGATCATTCTACATTCAATAACATATGTATAGCATGGATAATCTAACTGTTATATATGCATTGTATACTTACTTATTATCTAACATTCCATAAACATATTTAATAAAACTTGACGATGGATGATTTTCCGCGAGGCACATGGTATCAAAGAAAACCAGGCTATATTCTTGATTCACCAGTCTGTCTAGGATGCCACATGCATACCCCACAAGCTAGAGAAGAAATGCCATTACAACTTGTTTCAAAATTCTATTAAAATAAACTGCTGTATCAATTATAAACTGTTCTTCCTTGAAATGCAAGCACTGTTCTCACATTCACACGAGGCTAAATTATAATCAGACAACTTCATGAGATAAAATTCCTACTAACCCGGTCTGAATCAATTGTTGAATCTGAAAAACGTTTTCCTATGATGAGAATGACTGGTCGACCAATGATGTCATGTCCTGAAACAATCAATGAACAAAAATTACACAATTCCATCATTTTTGTGGTCCATCATTTTTGTGGTCAATCATTATAGATATATAATAATTTCGTCATTAGAACTGCTTTTTCAGCAATAATTATGTACAGTAATCAGTAAAAAGTGTAAAAACATACCACAATGATAAATCATTCGAAGCTTTTTCAGATCAGAAAAGTCCTGTGATCTACCCCTTTTTACCCACCGAGCGTAGCTAAAAACATAAAATGACATTCCTATCATGTAAGCACAGTACAGTAGTAGTGCTATCTGAATGAGACAGCAAGATCATCAGCCTTATTCCATACTGTAAATGTATTGTGAGCTCATCACTACAGTCTTCACAATGTTGTATACTCATGCACCTCTCATTTTCAAGTGCTGTATGCATCAAAAGCTCTCTTTCTGTTTTAGAAATCAAATATAATATCAAAAGGTGTGGTACACTTACACTTTTTGTTGTTCATACATCCTCATTTCTTCTAGAGATTTGCCCTGCAGTCTTTCATGTGAAATCACGTCCTGATCTCCTGTCATGTGAGTGAATGCATGCCTTCCGACATGTTCACTTTCAATAATGTTCTCATCATCAGTATCACGTATCGAATTGACACCTGCGGAACTCACTGAAAATGAGAAATATACAAGAATTGTAATTTTGAAAAATCACCCAATATGTATGTGGCATCTAATGACCAATGGAACATTATCCCACAAATGAAATAATGGAACATTATCCCACCTATTGTTTTGATAGGTTTATCCGAAATTCTAATTCCTCTCTCTTCAATAACTGGCTCGCCCATTTCATTTCCTAGAAATACAGATGATACTCAGAAATGAAAAAAAAACGGTCCCACATACTGTAAATCAATATATGCGTACCTATATTTTGTGGAAGTTCACCAATACAGAATTGTTCCTCAGACTCATTTCTTGGAAAATATAGTGGCATCACTTTTCTGTAGATTTCCTGGAAGCAAAAACTGTACTCTTTAGGACTTTACTCACTCTGAAAGGTTCCAACGCCTGTGGATGGGATTTTGCAGAGGTGGGGGAAGGGTGGATGGGTGGAGATTTTCCAGGGAGGGTGAGTCATTGTTTGCTGCCACAATTTGCATCAAAGTAGCCATATTTAGTAACCAAGAACACATGATGTCCCACCCAAGCATTGACAATAATAAATCTAATGTTATACACAACACAACCTACATCATTTGCACCAGTCACAACAAACACCACTCGATCTACTGTGTCACCAAAATGTTCAAGAAATCTACGTACTGTACCTAACACAAAAATTTTAAAAACAATGTCATATTGCTGTGCAAATGTTGTTTTGGGACGCAAAGGATAAAAAGTAAATGAATCAATTGTTAGGCTTTTCATGTAGCGTACGTACGGATTGCAAGATGAGCACCAGGTTCTGGTGGGAAGCCTCGTTTAGGTGAGTAAACAATAGGAAATCCAATTGATGCCAACTTGTTTTCTCTGTTGGGTAAAAACATAATTTATCAAACACAAGCTAATGGTTACAAGAGGAAAATAGACTGATCAGAAAAAAACTGTGATGTTTAGAACTCTCAAACTGGAAGCAGGAATGAAATTTGGCAACACAGATGCATTAACCAATGTTGGAAATAGATGGTGCACAAGGTACAAACTTACCTCACAATTAACATGCTGTTTCTGTAACAAAAGTACAAGGCACTGTCAGCCGCTGTTTGATATTTCACATTGTAGCGAGGTCCTACAGTGTGGATAACATATCTAAAAGGAACAAAGAGTAGATAATGATATTGTCTCCATAACATTTGTTCCATTCAGGAATGAACAATTTCTAATTGTAACATTAACACATTAAGTTGCATTCAATGCATTGCACCCAATACACCCTACTTTATTATTTTACTCTGATGATTTTACTCATCAATGGGAGAGCACTGGCACTCAGTTGGGTTAATCAGACCCATGTGTCTAGTTAACCCAGTAAGTTGCATTGTACTCCAATGTGCCCTACGTTAGTTTTTCACTCAGTCTAACACCAGACAATTTCACTCATCAAGGGAAGAGCGCTGGTGATCAAGTATTTACATTGTGGTATGACTCAACATAATACAAACCTTGCAGGCAGTCCAAATCCTTCTGTGAATTTAGCTTCACCAGTTCTACAAACTACATCAAAGGAAGAAAAAGTCAGAAAGGTGATACCAAATCAGACCAAAGTACAAGCCCCCCTAGAGAAGAATTTGAAATAATCTCGAATAGTCTGTACCAGTGTAGATAGTGCCAACAATTAGGGGTGCACCGGAACTCGGTTCCGGCCGGTTAGTTCCGGCCAGAACCCCGATTTTTCAGAGTTCCCGTTCCGGCCGGAACTAATATAAAAAGCATGGCCGGAACCGGAACTCTGTCGTTTTCAGAGAGATAGAATATCAAACGTTTTTGTGTCTAACAAAACTTCACAGTAGGAAGAAATTTGGACTACGCAAGGGAAATGTACACTATTAGCACTTCATTATGACGTTTAACGTTTGTCAATCTTTTTATTCTAACATTTGCAAACTCTCTCCTTGATGACTTGAAGTGTCTGCCTGTCTGGCAGCGGACAAAGTAACATGACTATATATGGCTTAATAAATCAGTTCCGGTTCCGGCCGGAACTTTTTTCCAGTTCCGGTCGGATCCAGCCGGAACTTAAAAAATTGGTTCCGGTGCACCCCTACCAACAATAAGAAGGCTGCGATTTGATAGGGATACGACTACCTGCTTTTGTTGGTAAGGATACAACTGCCTAAAAAATACAAAGCAAAATTCAACGTTTCGAGCAAAGGTACCACTAAATTCCCAACAAATGGCCTTTACTTGAAACATCAAATTTTGCTTTGTATTCTTCAGGTAGTTGCATGCCTCCCTACCAACGAAAGCTTGTTATCATCTGCACTACCTGGTAAAGACAGTTCAAGATTATACAACTACCTTGTATTTTTTAGGGAGTTCCAGCTTTCTTAAAGTGGAAGTCAAGTCCGTAATGTAAACAAACGGTTTGTTTACATTTTGAACTGCTGTATTTTTTCAAATATGATGAACTGTCTGAATATCTAACACTATTTTGGTTTGCTATGCTTCTAAATGCATATGAAATAGAGTTTATGTTCAGAAAAATTCGAAACATTCGAAATTTGGGCAATTTTCACGTTAGAGGTCCTCACATTGTTATGAGCAGAACCGATGTGCAGAACGGACTTGACTTCCACTTTAAGAATTTGAAATGTACCTTTCAGTTCCTTCTTGCATATCTCCATAAGTTCTGGACCAGCAATGTTGTGGATACGACTACTGATTGGGTTTTTATCATCTAGAGTTTCATTGGTTGGGTTGACGATTGTATCAACTCTGAGATTTGTAATGTCACCATCCCTAGGATTTTATAAGTATGTTAACCCATTAAGTGCCAGTGCTCTCCACAAGCAAAATCTGGCGTTAAACAGAGTGAAATAATAAAGTAGAATTAACACTGCATGACTAGTTTTGGAGCAAGGCTTCTTGCCAACGAAATAGTCATTTTTTTGCCATACACATGAGCAAATAAAACTTGCCTGTCTGTACATGTTTACTCACGACTGATGAGTATTTTTTTATATCCCAGAACCCCTGGAAATGCTGTCACTGTCCAGAAAACACTGGCATATACTGGGAAAATACAATGGTCCAACTATGAAAGATTTTTTCATGGAAATCACACTACAGTATAATGTATCGAATTATTCAAAATGTCACTATTTTCGCCTTGGAAAGATTGCGTATATTATTAAGGCATATATAAATTGCTACATAAATAATAAATAATTAAATATCAAAAATTATGCAGAGAAAATTTAATTGAGCCTTGTCAGTTCATTACACATAAATACTGGTATTAGTCACATATAAAACCACAATTCAATAGACTCTAAACAAGCCAGCTTACCATAAAGAAACCTTTTCATTTAAATCTTGTCGAACTGGAAACTTTGAGTCTCGAATTGTAGAAGGTTCCTGGTATGTTGGCGGAATTAAATCATGCCATGTCGGCAAACTATGCCCTTCTACCAGCTGAGAAATTGCTCCTAAAGGGTCCATCTTGGCAATATTAACAACAAAAGTCTTCTTTCCCTTTCACATTGTTGGTTGTGGTAAAAAATTCGAGTTTCATAGGGACCAACTGGCGGCCATGTTGAATATATACGAGCGTGTGAAAGTCACATGATCAAAGTGAAAGAAGGTAAACATGAAGAAATATTTCAATTTCGGAGAACAATGTTTCATGAAAATATTCGGGAAAATTAAAAGTGAATATTATCATGATATATGATACTGTAAAGTCCAAGCGTACTATATCCTTACAACAGACTTGCTATAAAGTTCATTCAGAAACTACCTGAAAAAAACTTCACCAATGTATATAAAAGGCATAAAAAGTTAGAGAACAAGTTCAAATGTGACAAATTTTGAAATTTATCCCATCAATGATAAACCCCAAGTATTTGCCACATAACTACCATTTTCACGCTCAACTGGTCGATAATTTTGAGAACACAAATATAAAATTAAATGAGAGTATAAAAAGATCTTAAAAGTAAAAGAAATATTGTTGATTTTGTTGGGAAAAAATTGTTCAGTTTTTAAGAACACAGTCAGAGATTTTTGAGAAATTACTTGACGTCACAAAGTGTTACAGCTCGCAAAAATTGCAATCAATTTCAACGAAGGAATTAAAAAGTTTACACAAATCTGACCGGTACCGATATTGTTTAACTGGTATTTTTATACGGTTTGAAAATATTTTTTTAGTTTTTATTCTAAAACTTCCGAAAACAGGTCGGAATACGTTAAAAATTTACTTGCTCTATACTGAAAGTTTTGAAATCGAATAGGTATGTATAAAACGTATGACGTTCGTGCATGGCACGTCTGGGAACAACTATTTGTTTCACAGTGTGTGTACAATTAGTATTGCATAACACTGGCATGTGACTCTATATCCAAACACACGACATTTTCGCGACATAATAATATAACTCTGTCCTTGTACAGTGGTTTTTACACAAGACTAAGTATGTCTTCAATGGATAGGAGTGAAGAAATGAACAGAAAATGTGGCACAGTGTTGGGGAATTGCTTGTCGAAATGCACGAGGCCTGTGCAAAGACACGTCTCGAAAATCCCGACAATTCAAGCCGTCGATATTATGCGAGATCCAAGATTAAATAAGGTTTGAAGGAATAATTATGTAATGATTTCATAGAAACACGTAGTTGTTGAGCATGGATTGTATATCTTCTAAATCTGCGCATCCATTTATTGCAATATATACCATTAGCTAGACGTCAGGGGGGGGGGGGTACTATACAATTACTTTATGGTTTCCGTGTTTGGATGGCCTGATCCAAACACGCGGGAATGTTGCGAGAGTTAAGAAAAGCGAGCGAAATCACGAGCCGAAGGCGAGTGATTTTGCCCGCTTTTCTTAACTCGAGCAACATTCCCAAGTGTTTGGATCAGTCCATCCAAACACGGAAACCATAAAGTAATTGTTTTATAAAATAACAACAACACGGTAGTCTTCCGTGTTTGGATGGCCTGATCCAAACACGGCTTTCGACCAATCAGAATACGCGTTATATACATGTTATTTTATAAAGATACTTACCCTTGCCATCAATATTCATATAAGACAAGGGCCGGCCCACTATCTGCATATGGAGGCTATCTGCATAATGACGAGGGTTAATGAGTCGATATATATTTAACTATTTAAGGGAACAGGTTTTCCACTTGAGGAACGCCAAATACTGGGCATACATGGTTTACTGCCTCCAACGCTCGGTAACCAAGAATTGCAGGCACAGCGTGTCATGCGTCAACTGTCAAGCAAGGACTCTGACCTGCATAAATACCTGGACCTGATGGCCTTGCTGCAGAGAAATGAGCGGTTGTTTTATCGGTTGCTGGTGGACAACCTGGTGAATTTGATGCCCATTGTCTACACACCCACTGTAGGAAAAGCTTGTCAAAAATATGGAGAGATATTTACAAGCCCAAAGTAAGAATTGGAGAATCATCAGGTCCAACGAGATGGGAGGAGGGGTTTAATGGGGGCAACTTGCCCTGGGCCCCTAACCTGGTAGGACACCCTTAGGACATAAATTTAGCTGGCGGCATCTGGGGCTCCCGAGGGTGATGCCAACCAGAGTTGGACACATCTCTAAAACTGACACCTCTCCACCAGACACCTGTCTAAAGAGCGAAACCACTCTGTCTAAAACACACCTTCCTAGTTAAGATGGAGAACGTTTCTTGGGCGATAGGTCAGTCCAAGGGAGTTAGATTTCCCAGTCCCCTCTCGATCTTATGTTGACACTTGTCTAAAATGTAAAACTATCTGCAACTGCATCTCTCTAAAGTGTCCAGTTCAGACAAGTGTCTGACTTGAAAGCCACCTGTTTAAAAGGTGATTGCTAGATAGTATGCTTCAAAATAAGGTTTCCGTTTTTATAACGTAGAAAAAACTATCCTAACGCAAAACTAAACCCTAACCCTAATGCTAACCCTCACCCTAACCCTCACCCTAACCCTAACCTAAACCCTAAACTAACCCTAACTTATTTTAAAAATTGATATAAAAACGGAAACCTTATTTTGAAGTATACTATCTAGCAATTGCCCTGTTTAAAATAGACACGTCCACGAAATAGACAGCTCTCTATGGCCGACTTAACAATGCTAATTTAAAGTTGCTTGATTTTTTCTATTTTATAGGGGTTTGTTTATTTCAATCAAAGATAAAGGACATGTTGATCAACTTGTTGGTAACTGGCCTGAACCAAATATTAAAGTAAGTAGCACGTAGTGTTTAGAGATCTTTACGAACCTATAGTTAGATTGACGTCCTCCCAGTATAAACTAATAGCAGCCGCTCTGAGAAGCTAATCACTGATGGAATTGTATCCTATCGAAGGAGAGTCACTTCAAATAAAACTATCAAGTCTAAGGAAATGAATGAATGAACCAACACAACTATGAATAAAGAACAAAGCACAACCTTGGACCAAGATCCCTATATTGTTAAATGTCACACGTAGTTAACGTACTATGCACATAGCACTACATGAACCTGGGATACCCTGAGCCACCCTGCACTTGATAACCATCTGCACTACCATTCCAGGTAGTAGTAATGACAGATGGTGAACGGATTCTTGGTCTGGGCGATCTTGGATGTCAAGGAATGGGAATCCCTGTTGGCAAGCTTGCTCTATGTACAGCCTGCGCGGGTATTGATCCAGCTGCATGTCTACCAATACAGATTGATGTTGGAACAAATAACCAGGCGAGTGGATCTTATTTCTTGTAGTCACGTGATTAACGCCCCGCTCACCCGAGACGCCGGAACTGGGGGGCAGGAGCCCCCGTTGCCCTTTACCAGGAGGGACAAGGGGGGCAAAGGTGCCCTTTCAATTTAAAGGATTGCCTTGGCGAAATAGCGAATTGTCAGAAATGTTAGTGCAATTCTTTTACGAAGTTGGTTAAGAAAACGCAAGAAATGCAGTCATCGAGCTTCAAGAATAGCACAATCGCCTGGCGGAGAACTCCCTCACATCCCTATCATCCAATAAATAGAAAACATGATTAGACGAAGTTCAACTCCCGATGTTTTGCAAACATCTCTTTGTATATATCAATTCAAAAATGCCCTTTCACGAAAATCTGCCCCCTTGCCTTCACATCGTTCCGGCGTCCCTGCCCGAGACCAAATGCAGCACTATATACGATTTTCGAGTTCACATGAATCCAGAAATGTGCTCAAACTTTGCGCGGTTTCGCGTTCACACGGAACAAATAAAATTGGACGAATTCGAACAAAACTAACCGTATGACTTTCTGTGTGAACACATGGACACTGATGAATTTTTGTGCGATCGTAGCCACGTTTTGGTAGGATTATCTGAATGATACGGTGTGAGGAAACAATATACTACTAACCTTGATATTGATTCAGTTAGGTGTCTAACATGTCTTCCAATACATGGAACGAAATGGGGATTAAATTGACAGGTTTTTTTATGTTGTAGGAATTGCTTGATGATCCTTTCTATGTTGGCATTCGAGAGAAACGAGTAAGAGGAGAAGAGTATTACGAACTGATTGATGAAACAATCCAAGCTTTGAGAGATAGGTATATGTTGTTGTGTGTTGTATATGGCAATCAGGGTAGGGTGTGCATGGTAAGGTAAGGTATGATATGGCACAATATGATATGGTGAGGTATAATATGGTATCGTAAGGTTGTATGTGGTATGGTCTGATCATGAATTCATATAGACAGTTTGGCATGGTACTTTGTTTTACTTGTGTGGTAAAGTATGCCGTTGGTTGCTTTTGCAGATTTGGAAAGAACACGCTAATCCAGTTCGAAGACTTTGGAAATCATAATGCGTTTTATTTCTTGGAGAAATACCGTTCAAAAATTTGCACATTTAATGATGACATACAAGGTACCAACTCCATCTGAACGAGTTATACTTTGAATTTGGCTTTCTTTCCTTTCTACTCCATTAAATATGTAGATGGAGTTACAATGTTAAAGGTTTTTAACATGAAATGTTTCAGGTACAGCAGCTGTAGCCGTGGCAGGCATCATTGCAAGTTTAAGGTTAAGTGAGAAGGAACGTCTTGCTGACAACACGTTTGTGTTCCTGGGTGCAGGCGAGGTATATATAAAGTTACGTCTGTCTGCTTCATCAAATATCAGACTTTAGAGTCTGATTACTCAGATGAAATTAAAAGATCAATTTGTCTGCGTGATTACCGATTCTGATTTTTGCATGTGCTTCGATATCTATGTCTGTGTTAAAGCTTGAGTATGGTTTCTCGTTTATTAGGCAGCCATAGGCATCTCTGACCTATTAGTCCTTGCGATGATGGAAGAAGATCTGACCGAAAACGAAGCCAGAGAGAGAATATCATTGATAGATTCCAAAGGATTGGTTGTTAAGGTTAGACACTTTTACACTTGAAAACCTAGTGAGTCAGCTCGGGGTGAAGTGGCTTTATAGTTTTCCCGGTTTGTACAGGTCTTATTGTGTCGTTTTCAAAGGCTTAGGAAAACCTAACCAAAGTATTACTCACGTCTTTAGGACAGAAGTGTCGGTGGATTAACAGCAACCAAACTAAGATATGCGCGTGAGACTGGTTACATTGATAACCTACTTGATGTTGTAAAAACTGTCAAACCTTCAGTATTGATAGGTAAGATATTACACAATAGACTTCATCTTATTCTCGTCTTTGTGCTGTTTGATTTATCAAGGAAACTCATGTTGAGCTTTGCAGGTAGATATTATAGTGGCGTCGTTATAATAACCGCCTCTCTGTGATAGTGAGCTGGATTCTCACTGCAGACAAAACTACAAAAGTGAATTCAGGACAAGATTCAGTCAACGTTCTGCCAAGTCTTTGATTTTAGTAACACATTTACTATTATCCTTAGGTGTGGCTGCCGTTCCTGGATCATTTAATGAAGACGTATGTCGAACTATGGCAAGCAATAACGAGCGTCCTGTTATTCTAGCTTTAAGTAATCCTACATCGAAATCTGAGTGTACTGCTGAACAAGCCTATACATGGACTGAGGTAGTTAATGATTGCACTGTATATTGATATTGGATAGCGCTATAAGTTCTAAACTGTTCTCTCTAGAGGTCCAGTTCAAGTTACTGGATAACTACATTATTGCATCATCGAGTGTTCAAAAAGTCAAACTGGAAACACTCTTCTCATATGCGACTGAGGTGAAATTATAATTCTACAATTGCATATATGCAGGAATTGAATCGTGGACATACACGTGAAGGGCACATGCTATAATCACTGTACTTCCACACCCCATAACGACAATCTTCCTAAATGTTAAAGCTACCTCACCTGAATCTGGTACTTTTCTGTCTACTTCACCTCTTTAGGGAAAATGCGTGTTTGCCAGTGGCAGTCCTTTCTCTCCAGTCACCTTACAAGATGGTCGTGAGTTTATACCTGGTCAAGGCAATAACTGTTACATATTTCCAGGCGTAGCGCTTGGTACTATAGTATGTGGCGCACAGAGAGTATCTGAAGGCATTTTCTTGGAGGCTGCTAAGGTATTAACTAACTTTATTTATACTGCACGTTCTCAGCTATATCCACCATGTTCTTCCTCCAGTCCGGAGGACAACTAAGTGTTTCCAGGAAAATAGTTTTTCAGAGAAACTGGAATAACGAATGAGGAAAGGAATAAAAGAAACAATACAAACACATTAAAGTTTCTTCCTGTATTTTTCAGAGCCTGGCTAGCCAAGTGACTGACGAACAACTTTCAAAAGGCTGTATCTATCCTCCACTGACAGATATCCGCGAAGTGTCCGTCAAAATCGCGGCCAAGGTTGCTGAGCATGCGTACAAAACCGGATTGGCTACCGTAGTTCCTGAACCTAAGGATAAGATTAGGATGATTTCTGAGGGATTATACAGTCCGGAGTATGTATCTTTTGTACCAAAAACTTTCGCTTGGTAAATACCTACCTCAAGAGTTATCTTTATACAGAGATGTTTTAAGTATTACTGTGACACTTCATAACTCAATAATATGAATATACGTTAGTGTATATAACCGAGCAGCTGGCTAGCGCTGGTTTTGATTCTCGTGCTATTCGTGTGTGTATGCTCGACATATCTTCACTAAAAATCATAATTTATTGAAATATAATTGCATGGTCATGAAGGATAAAATTAGTGACATCAATTTATATTTTAAAATAATCCCCTAATAATTGCAATGTAAAATACCAAATTGACTTAATTAAAACATTTTTCTAATTATCGCCTAGCAGTTATGAATTTGAAAACTGTGCAGGTCTTTTTGACTAAAGAATATACATGTCACTCGAGTAAGAGTGAAGCTGGGATGGTGTAAATTGACGTCAAAAATATCTAGCTTCACTTCTTGGGACAAATTCTCACTTCAGATAATATGGAGCTCAGTGAGGCCACCTTCACTGGACTACCTTGAATCCAGATTTGCAGTGTACCGAGTCCGCAGTTAGAGTTCAGATTTACGACTCTATCGTCATGTGTCAGATGATCAAGCAGTCATGAAATGTTGCTGATGAGTCCTATTACTGCTCATTAATATGCCGCTAAGAGACGATGAGGCTGGATCCAAGATTCTATATGTCCCTGTCTAACCACGCTGAACAGCCTGAGAAGGGCATAGATAGGTCCGAAACTAAGACTATGGTGTTATCAGACGAGCATCAACTACCTGCTAGAGTCGCGAATGTTTCACGCGACGAGTTGCGAAAATACGCGCAGTGTAAGAGAGTCGGCAGTTACCTACTAGGCAGGACTGTTGGTGAAGGATCATTTGCAAAGGTCAAGGAAGCTATTCATATTTTAACAGGCGAAAAGGTACGAGACCCTTATATAGTGTGTAATATTTATGAGTAATATGTACCTGTATAGTGCGTAATAGCAGTGTATATTCACCTGGAAGATGTGTAATATCTCCCCGTATGGCCACTCAGGGCTGTCTTCGTATATTGGGTTTATATGATATGGTAACTAATAAGCTTTTGGTAATCTGATGTGTGTATATATACCTTACAGTCTGGAGTTTTTCACTTAACAAAATTGTCTGTTAGTTGTAAAATATTTAAGATAGTCTAGGAGTTGAGTCAGAGACGCAAACAATCTGTGTTGCGTTGAGACAGATTTCAATGCCTGCTTGGTGTCAACTAGTCGATCTGGTTTATATTATAGAGATAATATTAGAGTTTACCACGACGTTTCTTATCAATGTTTGGGGAGTGTTTACGGATTACGACTATGTATTCGCGATCATTAGTATGGCGCATTCCGGTCGTAACGCAGCCAGGCGAACAAGCGATAATTTACTAGCAAATTCACGAACTATTTTCGTTTTAATTGTTTATTTAAACGAGCACGAGTCGCTGTCAAATTTGTCGCGCATCATTTCACAGTATTTCTGACACGTTTTAACCCGCACATCTTCGCTGCGTTGACGCACGAAGCGCAATGATAATCATCATAATATGCGCACTATTCGACTCACCACTTCCCGGATTTCATGCAGGGCGGATAAGAAGAACGCAAAGTCATAATCACCACCGAAAATATTTTAGATAATTCCCGAAGTTGCGTCAAACTACCCGACCACTATAACCTAACTAAAACCTACGGGCCAGTATTAAATATCGTACTTATAATAAATACTTCACGGATTTAAAAGCGCAAATTCAATTTCGCGTTCATAAACTATGAGACAATAGAAAGCTGTCAATTGTTCTAGTAGGTATTAATCAACTTTGCCTTTGATTCACGAGAAAGGAATTGGGAAATCAGCATATTAACATGTAAATAAATGTCCATAAATTAAGTCAAACGTCTCTGTAAATACTGGTTCGTTTGTGAAGCAAAACCATACTATACGAAGTCGTTTATTATAGTAAATAAGTGACTTTCAATAAAACACCTGAAAGTATGTTAATTAATTAAAAAGACAATTCTCGATATATACCCAAGTACCCAACCCTGCCCTAACGCTGTATATTATTAATTCATAAAGTCTCGTGTATGAAATGGTATGATAATTAACATAATGTACGATTGTACGACCTTCTGCAAACTGTATAAATAAAACTGGACCAATTCTACTTGTATGTGTATCAGTATGCACATATACTTGATAATGTATACTTTATAGTATATTCACACCTACGTGTCAAGTAGTTTTATTTCATTGAGAACGGAAACAATCGCGCTAAATAAATATGAATAGCATTCACGAATTCTTTCAAATAATTTTCACATCGATATGTCAAGTTCACAATGGTGGCGAGGTATTCATTGGGCTCACTTTGCCGACCATTTCTCGCGAAAATGAATTAATTTTAAACAAATACAGACCGAACTGAAGCGCGCAAAGCGAATAAATGGAATATTACAAATTCCTCCAAGCCATTGTTGGCGTTGAGTTAAATACACTATGTAGGTGGGATATGTAGGTATTTGAAAGATCATGTTATTAAGAGATGATCACAATATTATGTTCCCACGTATCAAATTAATGCCATGAAAATATCATAGCCTACTTGTCTCAGCCGAGCGCTTTTATGTGCCCGTACGCGCAAGGAAAGATTTAAATCCTTCTAAATTTATTTATATTGGCGCGACTCTGTATTAAGCGTTACAGGGTCGACCACCAGACTATTGAACTAGGGGCATGCAAATTATACAATCCCTATTTTATTTATTGCAAGTTAATTTAAAAATGAAAATGAAAGCCCAGCAAATGACTTTCAGACAAGACATAACAAAAATATAAAATTTATTGGCTAACGTTTCGTTGTATTGTTCACAACATCTTCCGAGCAATTTTAAACTTATTTACAAGCGTGTAATTGCTCTGAAGATGTTGTGAACAATACGAAACTGCAACTTGTTTGCATGAAAGTCATTTGCTGGGCTTTCATTTTCATTTTTAAATTGCGCTTTCCAACCGGTGTATCAATCGCTACTATTGCACGAAGTTACTTGATATTCGACTAATACAATCTTAATTCCAAACAGTACTGGCTTTTTTAATAATGTACGGTACATTTTTTCAAGCGGATGGCTCTGCAAGTACCATGTTGATGGATTTAAATATTCTGTGCGTTCTAGTGCGAAATTAGGGAAAAGCCTTTAACTTTAAAAATGACAATTTTTCGAGTACGTCAACTCTGTTTCACGCATTTCCGATGTTTTCTGCAAGTGTCATGTGAATTTGCGGCTAGCGCACAGGGAAGTTCAGTTAGGTCGCAGTAACTTGTCAATACCAGTACTGCGTTAATCAATGTCTGATATAATCATATGAATCATATGACAATACGCACGTCTTCGTGTATAAAAACTATAAAACATATCAGTCGCATAGCGAAGTAATGCCTCAGGGGAGTCTATTTAAAAACTGAAAAAATTGCGCAAGTGCACGCATGATATTAAACGATAAATGCGCAAAAAGAAGTAATGTAAAAATTATTTGCGTCATAGAAATATTTTAGCTATTAAACTGTACGCTTTTGCAGTAATTTTGGACAGTTTAGCAAAGTCACGGGAGGGTCAGGCGGCACTTGTTATTTGTCAATGACAAAATTGTTCATATGAGCATTTTAATCCTTCCCACTTTGTCACGACATTTTTCATAGAGATTAATGTACTCCTAAATCTTACCAAAGCCTTAATTTCTGCACATCATCATCACATGTTTCGTATTAACACTACGAGTTTTTTTCACACTCACTTCTCGTCATAATAAAATTATTGAGCTCAATTTCATTGGATGCATGTTCAAAATCCAAGCAAGAATATTGAAATATCGATTTAACTCGGCTTATTTTTTATATATTTTGGATGAATTCGCAAGCTTCGTCGAAATTGAAAATCCGCGGTTTAAAATATTTACCAAAGAGTATAAAATATTCTTTGAATATTGTTGGATAAATATGCTGGGCCAACAATGTTCGCCCGTTTGAAAAGGCCTTATGGCTTATACCCAACAGTGTTCAAACATACGTAAGAATTTTTGGTGATGTTCATTTTGTGATGTCTCCACAACGGGCAAGCTGAATCTGCGACCTTTGTCTTGCTATAATAAAAAAATTATTTCATCCATAAGGTGATAAATATTTGAGGTGACAACCAATCTTTTCTACAGCTCAGAATTGGTGAATTTTTTTTTAAATCTCCAAGGATTGTGAAATATTATGCAATATAAGAAGAGTCTGTGAAATTAGAGACTTGTGGGCAACCTTCCATTAAACATAGACCAAAAATAAATATGAAATCCCATTAGAATTTCCTTTGCTTACTCAATTTCTTCTGTTGACCGTGGGAAAGAATATAATTTTATATGAAATCTGGCATGTGTTAAATACCTGGCTGAACAAAAGCTACAAAGCACAATAAATAGTGTAGGAGAATATTTTCCTCTGCGGTTAGGTCAACTGACATGTGATACATCGCAGAGATAAAAACAACGAAATAAACATGAATACATTTGTCGAATGGCCGAATGCTCAAGTATGAGGGAGGGTTTCGTAAACATCTCAATGGCAAAAACACAATAGGTGCCGACATAAATCTACATATGTCAACACCAATATTGACGAACATGTTAAAAGGAATGGTACAAAACATGGACTCTGTACTACACTTCAACAAAACCTTAGCTAACGCATGCCTTGGTCAACCAATTCATTCACAAATATCATTGAAATGCTTGCTTATCTTTGTTCAATTTTATGCTAGGCATGCGAGTTATCGGAAAATGTGAATCAGAAGTAACGGATGCGTTAGCTAATTAGGTTAAGTTTCTACGTCATGTTATCGCACTAACCAGCCCATTCACACTTGCAATTTTTGCGACGATTTCTGGCGCGAATTTCTCCTTCTGATGGATGTGAACGAGCAGATGAATTATAAACGTTCAGGCACAGAATACTACACAGAAGTCCATCTCCATTGTTTTTAGCGTAAGCTCTATTCGTCATGATTCGTCACTCAGCAAGTACCGTAAACAGAAGCAGTCCCCCCCTGGAAATACTAAAAATGGCGAACGTCCAGGGGGGTGACTGCTTCTGTTTACGGTACTTGCTGAGTGACGAATCATGACGAATAACGCTTACGCAAAAAACAATGGAGATGGACTTCTGTGTAGTATTCTGTGGATCAGGTGAGGTTACACATACTCAGAACATTCATTACCAATCTACTCGTTCACATGCGTCAGAAGCAGTAGAAATGGCAGGAAAAATTGCAAGTGTAATTAAGAAGTTATAATCGAGTCAGCATAATCGGGTATATTGATATCTTACTGTAATACCGCCCTAGGTGTGAATACCATCCTGTGATCGAGTCGTTCATCCTATGCTCAAGTCTAATCGTAAATTCCGACGCAGTTCCGCGCTTGCAGGGTTTGTTTTGTTTGCGCAGTGATAATAAATCAAACAGTATCCATTACACAGCAGTATTTGATGGACAATACATTCTGCCCCCTACGCGGCTCGCGCTAAAATATACCAGTATCATTTGCTATACTATATAAACTGGATTCGTGGCCTGGAACTATGGAGTTGGTGTTGTGTACTCAGGTGAATAATTATGATGTTTGTGGTGTTACTCTGAGTGTGCATCCCATAGAAATAATAGTCTAATATTTCTATGGTGCATCCACACTGGGCAAGCTGAAAAGTTTGCCTGATCACGGTGTGAAATTAGGTTACTGCACTTGGGGTGCAGTGTATGATGCATGTCCTATAGTGTTACAGATGTTCTACTATAGCCAACTATCCACCAATCAACACAATAAGTGGAAATATTCCTCTCTGGAGGTCCCGTAAAGACCATCGTTCAGCAGCATTGTTGGTTAGATAGTGCGGGATGGAAATTTTAAACAGAGTCCAAACCGATCAAACATGAAGTCAACATTACCCAACACGTTCTGTTCAAAAAGGCCAATAATGTTGAATCCTTGAATAATGTTGGACAAACATAAAGTATGAAACAAGCTCACAACTTAGACATTTATCCCATAAATCATATATAAGGCATGACCTACAACACCTGTCTAAAAGACTTAATCCAACATAACATCACTCTAGATCAACTATTGCACAACATGCAGATACCAAGAAACAGCAAAACTGCCAAAACAAACTAACAAAGGCTAAGCTATGGATGATTTAAAGTTTTAAACATCAGCTGCAGCTAATATCTACTCTTTTCATCAAAACAAGTTATAATGTGGCCAACAGCTGTACTGGCCAAAACCTTATCTCAAAAATCTAATTGTTCCGGCAAAAACTTGTGCTAAGGCTGGATTATGATATAGCAATATTACCTAGCTTGTCTTGTGGGTATGCTTAAAACGATTACTGCTTAAAATATTTTATCCGTGGTGCTAAGGACCTTCTCCGATTTCCGACTAATATCTGGAAGTGTGAACTTCGAAGCTCTCGAGGGAGAATTAAATTGGTTCCATATAATACAAGTATATAATACAATTCCATATAATACAAATGCCTAAAACCTGTTCGTTTTTCCATGTTTTAAGCGAAAAACACAATTCTCAGTATGCGACCTTACTTGAGGATGGCAGGTCTACGCCTAAAAGATTAGTCTTGATCCGTGAATTGCGTATAAAATAAAAAAAAATTGTAACCTAAGAAGGCGAGGCGGTTCTTACAAAAACAGAAAAGCGTTTGCTAGATGCATCGAATAAGGTTTGACGTATGGAATGACATGTTTCTGTGCATCGGATAAGACCATGGATTTGTGCAGTGCAATCACATGAGGAAATCAGAGTATTTGGTAGAGAAGAATTAGAAGAATCGTATGCTCACACGCGAACATTATGAATGAGAAGAATATGAAATGAAGCACGCCCATTGCAGGAAACGAACCTTGGTCGTAGAAATTGAAGGAACATACAGTCAGGGATTAACACAAGCATTTCACTAATAATTCAGACACCGTTTTCTCGGAAGATTGAGTTTTAGGAGCCAACACTATACCCCACAATATGAGATAACATTTCCTACATTCCGACAGCACTTTTGAGCAAAACTATAATAATTTTAAAACAGGTTTTTAATGGCGTGTTGAAGAATATACAACATCAAGTTTCTTCCTTTTAAATTAATTATTCACATCAGTGCCAATTTCTTCAAAACATATACGGTAGTGTGAAAAATATAATGACGGGAAAGATTGAGTTTCAAAACTCCATTGAAGATTCATTTTTTAATACCGTACACAGGTAGTACAAAAGTGCTTGTATATAATTATCCCTGGCAAGAACCACTGTGCTAGAACATCTAAAAAATCCCTTGTATGGTAATATCAAATGTTGTTTTTGTCTCAAAAAGTCACTTGGGATTTACGTAATAATTTTATTACCGAGACTTGTTGTAAGCAGGATTGTGATATAATCTATTGCGCATCTGGTTTATCATTTTCGATACTTTGCTATTAAAACTGCGGTAAACAACAATAATTAATATGAAGAACTTGATGAAACGAACAGTGGACTAAAAAGTCGAAACATTGAGTCGTAAATTATATCATTTGTTCGAGGTTTCATTCATCTGCTTCAACTAACGAAAGCAGTCCAGTGATAAATATATCACTACTAATAAGGTAAAGAAAACAGCGCAAATAAAGACAAACGTCAAAAGTACATGCGGCTGTTATCAATTGAAGGAGATATTTGCACCATGCAGGAAACACATTAATATATGTTCCGACGTACTCGAGTAATTAAAACCTGATTAAAACCCAGCCTAGGTCGCCCGGCATCATGCTCAGATTTACGCATAAATTGCGTTTCCAAAACAAACATGAACATGCGGTGCGACCTTCTCAATGACACTAAGGACAATTACTGATTATTTTAATTGCAATGTACACTCCCTGGTATTAAAGAGGATCTTAATTAAGTGATATCATTTACGCAATAGATGTTATTATCGTGAGCTAACTATGTTTCCAGTTAGGGCTTCAATTATTTTTCGCCGGGATGAGAGGCGGTATGATTTTAATTACGATGCACACTTCTCGGTATTAGGGGGATCGTAATCAACTGATGCCAATCGCGCAATATATGTTGTTTTTGTGAGCTAAGTATGTTTACTATTAATCAACCTCAAGAGTCTTGTATTGGGCCAATTGACTTTAATTGCTATATACATTCCCTGGTATTAAGATATTGCAATTAACTGATACCGATCGCGCAATTTATGTTGTTTTTGTGAGCTAAATGTGTTTACCAATAGCTAAAGGATGGGCCAAGAATCTTCCGCTATGCACAACGGCCGGCCAGTGGTTATTATTTGTTTTGAAATGCTTGTTAAATTATGTACATTGTACTTGAGATGGCCTCAACTGGCAAAATATTGTAATCAGTAAGGCACTACAAGTCTACAACGCTGTTGTTCCGAAAATTCATTAATCATTGACAGGCAAATAGTCAGATACGAGATCAAATAATAATCCAAATGATGACTGTTTTCTTGGCCTAGACCCAAACTCTGTTACAATCATTTGGCTACAGTGTCATCACTGCAAAGATTGGTAACATTCGTTACGATTTTCATCCAGTGTTTCAATAAGAGTTTACAACCATTCTTAATTAAAGTCTACTTAAAATGAACTCCCCTAGCTCTGAGGATGATTCTAAAATATCACAACAAACAACAGATAAAAAACTCATAAAAGCATTGATCTATTTCTGTTGTTTATCAGTAAATCATCGTCACAGTATGGGTAATATAATTCAAAGGATATCTCACAGAGTTGAATATCTCCATCACTGGACATCAGACCAAGGGTCGTCTTGCATATAATTCATTCATGTTTATTTTACCACTGGTGGTTAGAACGTACTGTGTAGTACCTAGAGAGAGAAAATCTCAAAGATTATTACAATTATGAGAAACGAAAGCGATTACTGTACCTACTCACTTAAGGAACCACTCTATGATATCTCAAACGTGGGAGTCCCGAATCCAAATAAGCTGTCGTGGCATGTGTCTGAAATACCGGTCTTATTGGTCTGAATAGATCTAATAGTTTTGTCTAAACGGTTTTCTCATGAGGTTCAGACTAAATCCGAACATTCTTTCCTTGAACATGGCTTAATATTTACTCAGCTCAGACGTTGATAACTTTGGCTACTACTAAAAAGCGATACAGCGATACAACGATACAGCGATACAGGAACCGGAACCTGGAACCGGAACCTGGAACCGTGCATAATTTATGCAAATTAGAGCATTTTGCACCACAGGAGATATACATAATAATAATTTACAAGGGGGGGGGGCGCAATTCAATGATAATATACAATATTATATGCAAGGCATTTTGATTTTTAAACAAAACAAAGAATGAACATCGTTGTAGCACTACATGTTTCGTAATTGCGCGGCCATTCTTTTTGTCTGTTTTGATATGACTGCATGTGACACACTTAGTTTATTTAGCCGCCGCACTTGATCATGAAATGCCCGCAGACAGAGAAGGAAACCACGGCACGCAAAGCAGATTGCGCTGGATTCAGCAGCAATTGTGCGCTAAATTAAGTAATTAGAGTGTAGTGTAGTGTATGATGCAACCCAGCATTGAAGCGAATATAAATAAATAAAATAAATGTGCTGCATGCCGAAATATATCCACTTGAACATCAATCACAAACATAAATGAAGTTTATATGAAGGTATAGTAACTCCAATGTAAAAAATACATTTAATAATGAAAAATTGATTTGTCTGATTGAAATTCAGCGTCGAAAACATATAGACGTACTCCGATACTTGATAGTACTATATTATATAGGGTAAGACACACGACTAAGTGAATTTCGACGCTGAATTTCAATCAGACATTTCAATTTTTCATTATTAAATGCATTTTTGACATTGAAGTTACCTTCATAACTTCATTCATGTTTGTGATCGTTGCCAGTCAAGCGGATATTTTTAGTACTGATGCAGCATATTCGCAATATTCGCGTATTCCGGCGGCAGCGTATATAGCACATTCAATCGGTTGGATTGCATCATACACTACACTCTAATTTCTCGAGAATTCAGCGCAATCTGCTTTGCGTGCCGTCGTTTCATTCTCTGTCTGCTGGCATTTCATAATCAAGTGCGGGGGCTAAATAAAATGTGTCATGCAGTCATATCAAAACAGGCAAAAGTGGTACAACGATGTTCATTCTTTGTTTTGCTTAAAAATCAAAATGCCTTGTTAGTTGTATATAATATTTTATACTATCATTGAATCCCCCCCCCTGTAGATTATTATTATGTATATCCCCTGTGGTGCAAAATGCTCTAATTTGCATAAATTATGCACGGTTCCTGGTTCCGGTTCCAGGTTCCGGTTCCTGTATCGCTGTATCGCTGTATCGCTTTTTAGTAGTAGCCGATAACTTTAGACAGTCTCCCATAAAGCTGTCAAATAGAGAAAGTTTGATTTCTCAATAAAGATAGATCAGCAACGACTATATGTTAATTACCCCAATGCTAAAATAGAGACACTTTCCTGATATACGGCTTATCGATAAATTGCAAGAATAGTACGACTATCTTCACAGATTATTGTCTACTACTTAAGATAACGATCGAATGCCTGCCATAACTATCAATGAGTGGAATATCATAGCCTACTGAGTTCAAAATAGAACTGAAGACCACCAAAGATCTCAACAGCAGTGGATACTGGGGGGGGGGGGGCGGGGGGCAACCTTTGAAAGACAGCTGAATAACTGTGTAACAAAGCGGTAACAATAATTTTTCGAAGACTATAAATTTCAGGCTATAAATTTCAGGCTATATATACTGCATGAAATTTGAGGCAAAAAAGTTTAAAGAACTAAGATTACCAGCTACGAAAGGTGATCATATGTTGCCAACCTAATTCCCCCTAAAGTCTCGACATGAAATTAAGCAAACTCAGTTAGGGTCAATGAATTGGTTTGGCTATCAGTTATAGATTATCCTTAGGCCCAATAAGGAGCACCCCTTATTAATAGTGTTAGTTAGCCCAGGAAAAAACGGAATTGCTCCAAGAAAGCCTGTGGTGTTTGGCAGAGCCGGGCAGGAAGTATTCTTCTCACATGAAACTGCATGAGACCAGAATTATAATCAGAAAACTGTATAATGAAGCATTCGAACATCGCACCAAGGGTGCTGTAATTTCATCTGTGATATCGTGTCTATACCGGTATATATAAACACGGTCATATACGTATTTGATTAGAGAGATTCAGTTAGAACCAGGTCTCTAATTAACATCGCATTGCTGTCTGAAACCCTGTGGTCTAGTGGTAAAACAACTTTACCGGCAATCGGGAGACACGGGTTCGATTCCCGTTGGGAGTGTTCAGATATTTTCTTGAGCACGATTTTTACTTGGTATCTATACCTTATACGCTTCTGTGGAGGGGAGTGCCCCCAGAGTCCAGTTGCCAAGTGCTGGGGATTTACACTCACTGGATCTCTTGGTAGAATCGTTTAGAACAAAAAGAGCTATCCAATATACTGAGCACCACCCATCTGCCTTGCACAAGGATTTAGCTACCCTCTGAACCATTCGTGTAGTGCATAGCTTCTAGCAGTGGCATTGCATACAAAAATACATTCGCTTTCTTTTCCAGGTTGCCATAAAAATCATCGACAAAAATCGTGCGAGAAAAGACCGTTATGTGTCAAAGAACATGCGTCGCGAGGCGCGGCTTCTACAAATGATCCGTCATCCGCATATCGTACAACTGCTGGAGATCGTCGAGACCTCACAATGTTACTATCTTGTGTTCGAGTTCGCTCATGGAGGGGATCTTATGGATCATATTTGTAAACGCAAGAGATTGGACGAGGATGAAGTCAGGAAGTTTATAAGACAAATAATATCCGCCGTCGAGTATTTGCATCGCCTTGGTATCATGCATAGGTAAGAACAAGGTTTTCAATCAAAGAAAATTACGAGAGTGTGAAGTCAATACTCTTCTTGTTACAAAGAGGGTTAATGCTATTAAAATTTATTTTCCATATTTAGAGATTTAAAAGTGGAAAATCTTCTTCTGGATGCGAACAAAAATATCAAAATAATTGGTGAGTGTCGAGTGGGGCAGCTTTTATTCCCGTTAACTTTAAAGAATGTACAATTATGGAGTGACTATAAGTATACGTATTCACCTTGCGTTTTGTGAGAGCTAAGCTGAATTGCGAAGGACACAGATCAACTTGATTGAGTCGAAGGTTTTCTAAGGGTGCCTCTGGCAGCCACCTTATACAGGGTGTCCACCCTTTGGTGAAGGTGGCTTTTCCAGGACTTTCAAGGCCCTTTTTCAGTAAATTCTAGTAAATAATTCACTTTATTCAGTAATTTTAATCAAAATCACTAATGTTGGCACAGCTGGAGGTTAAGGAAATTAATTCCAGGACATTCAAGGACTTTTTCAAGGATTTTCCAGTCCTGGATATTTTTTTTTCTAATTCAAGGACTTTCCAGGATTTTCAAGGCCCGTGGACACCCTGCTTAAAATGACTCGTGTCTGATCATCGAGCACAGCTACAGTGAAGATGCAATTAGGGCTTAACCCTAACCGCGAAGCTAGACTATCCGGAGAAAACCGACGACTTTCTGCAGACCAACGATTTTCTAACACCATGTAAACTAAGTGTCAACAGCATATAAAACGCGCACTGAAACCCAAATATTTATGGTGCTCAGGTCTTAGTATTCAATTTTCTTTTAAAGATTTTGGACTGAGCAACACAATCTACTCGCCGGATCCTCATAACGAGAATCACTGCAAAACTCAATGTGGCTCACCCGCATATGCCGCGCCCGAACTTCTGGTTCGTAAGGACTACGGCCCGCAGATTGATGTGTGGAGCATGTAAGTGACACCGAATACGACGTTTTACTATTAACTTTATTTTATACTAGATAACTAAGAGATCCAGTAAGTCCCATCTCTTCTTATAGATTGCTGTCATCATGCTCCAGTTTAGTGCACATGGAGAGCATTTCACTGGAAAAAAAAGTGAAATCCATACTACGAAATTTGCAATTGCACCACTAAATTCATACTATATCCATACTATTCCCATAGTATGGAAATATACAATTATTATGGATAACCAAAATCCGTTCTATTTCCAATAAAGATCCATACAATTTCCATTCTATGACCTTCTGTGTTTAATTAAACAAAAGAATCTAATTTGAATCTCATTATTTGACCTCCATCTGCCTTAGCGTTAAAGTCTCGTGGGATTGCTTGACACCCACCTATTTTTCCAATCGTACTGCAGTAGGAAACCAAAAATTTATATATACACTCGAAAATCTATATATACATGAACAAATGATCCCTATATAGCTCAGTTGGTTAGAGCACTGCACCGGCGATTCCTGCCATAAGTTCCTCCCACTGGCTAACGATTGTTTTCTTGTGTGTTTTAGTGGTGTAAATCTGTACGCAATGTTAACAGGACGTTTACCATACACAGTAGAACCGTTCAATATCAGTACGTTGTACAATAAGATGTTGAAACGACAGATGAACGCAATACCGGAATATTTATCAGAAGGTAGGATACACGTGTTTAGAATTTAATATCCAGTCAACTCTCATGCCAGTTTTGTTCTCCTTTGACCGGGGCATCAAAGTTGAGAAAACTCTCATGCAAACTCTCGCTTCTCAACAACTCTCATGCAAACTCTCACTTCTCAACTCTCATCAACTCTCATGCAAACTCTCACTTCTCAACTCTCATCAACTCTCATGTAAACTCTCGCTTCTCAACTCTCATCAACTCTCATGCAAACTCTCGCTTCTCAACTCTCATGTGAACTCTCGCTTCTTAACTCTCATCAATTCTCACTCTCGCGTTTGAGGAGGGTTTTATACCAGGTGTGCTAACATATTTTACTGAAATTTTCAGCGTGCAAAGACATGACTCATCAACTTTTAAATCCAGACCCGAAAGAAAGACTGCACATACTGGAAGCCGTTAGACATAGATGGATAACTATGGATCAGAGGGATCCTCTGGGACTCATCCCGTGTCCCAACTATCTTTGCGAGGAAGATTTAGATGATCGTATTCTGGATCACGTGGAGGAACAATTGAAACTTAACAGTGATGACGTAATACGTGACGTCATTCAGAACAAGTATGTATGTTTCGAAGACTTGCTCCACAAATCGAAGTATGAATAAAGTTATAGCATAGTTTAGGTTTCCTCCTGTAACCAATGTTTGTCATACTGTCTAGAACTGTATGAATTATCCAGTATAGGAAGAACAGTCTAGAACTGATAGAATTATCCAGTATAGGAAGAACAGTCTAGAACTGATAGAATTATCCAGTATAGGAAGAACAGTCTAGAACTGTATGAATTATCCAGTATAGGAAGAACAGTCTGGAACTGATAGCATTATCCAGTATAACTGAAGTTAGCTAAATCCCCGGTCAAACGAGGATGAGAGTTGATGAGGGACATTTCAAGCTCTAGATGAACAAAATAAAGGTTTGCCGAGTGTTCCAATTACGTTTCAACTTAAATAGAATACATGATAGTGTTGGGAAAGCATTAAGAACAGCTAACCAAGCTCGCGTGACTGCCAACTCTCATTCTCGTTTCATCCAGACTTGAGTCATTTCAGCTAAAATCTGAAATGACAAACCACAGGATGAAAACTATCATTAAAAAATATTTCTCCAACAGGGCGACCAAGAACTCGTGTGTGTACCACTTGCTAGTTCGTCGGTTAGAACGCTACGAGCGAGAGCAGACAAAACTCATCAACACACCACCACCTACCATACAGTTGACTGAGTCCAAACCACCATCAAGTCCAGAACATAAGCAACCATCACCCAACCATCACACCCAAAAGAATGGTCTAGTGAAATATTCTTCGCCTAAAACACATATCATGGAGAACCCTTTTAAAACTATCAAAGTCGCTTTAATTCGACAAAAGAAAGCTATGAAAAATGAAGAAAAATCAAAAGGTGGAAAAAGTTCAAGTCACGACTCCACCCCTCACTCAACAACGAACCCTGAAGCCAAACCCAAATTATGTACAGTCAAACGAGTAGCACTCGTGAAATTTTCGCCTGCTCGCCGGAGCCTTCGTGGCTTAACGAGCGGTCCACGGAACTCTACGAACAGCCCGAAGCCTGGCCGTAGAAGAAACTACTTCGAGGGACTTCAACGACGAAAATCACCGAAGGTTCGGCGACGGCACGCGGAGCCCGACGAGTCGCTGTCGAGTGCCGTAAGCACCTCGAGACGAACAAGTATTGATAATACGGACAACGTAGGGCCCATTATACAACGCATGAGAATCGAAGATAAAATAAACAACAATTCTGCGGTTGAGAATTCAAAAACTTTAGTGGATACTTCCGAAGTCGTAAATTCTGATACAAAGTCAGAAAAATGTACCTGTGATGCACTTCTTCTCGGGAACATCCCGGAGAATGGTACACTTATACGAAATGAAGACCCCGGAACAAACACCTCGGGAACTGTTACCCACTTATACACGAACAAAGGGGTTGTATTAAAGCGCGACTCGTTAGGGGAGAACCATAAAACAACGTACGAACAGGAACAAGCTACTGTACAACATCATGTATTTCATGGCGGAGACAAGACAGGTGGAGGTGTCAAGGACGAGCAGGGTTGTAGAAGGGTAAATGGGGTGAATAGTAAGCAAGGAACGGCTGGAAGTGGATTGTCAAAAATTGAGGTGATGAACGCAAAAATTTCGTCTGTGTCTAGTAAAGTAGCAGAAACAGCGAAGGTATTTCAAAATTCCATTTTTTCAGTGAAGATTATTGCATGGTTTTATAAACCAACTGTCAATGATAAGGGTTCAATTCCCGCAGCATAGATAAAATCTCGCCTAGGATATGATGAGTACTTTCAGTTTGACTTACGTGTTGCGATAATCAAACCAAAGCGCCTGGGTACGAGGCGGCACTGGACCAATGAAATACTTTATTGGACTTCTCGGGAGAACGGATTAGAGAGAGCTTGAACAATAAGGGACCTTAACTGGACCGCCAGGGAGAACAGTTAGAACTATAAAGTATTGTTGATGGGTTTGAGATAGATGGAATTTCGAGCGAAAAGAGCAGTTGCTATAAGACTTCTAACTTGCGGCCGTGCGATTCCGGCGTAGCCGCTCTAACCAACTGAGCTACAGAGGCCAGTTCACGGGCATTAACCACAACTTCTTGTTAAATGGTGGGGTAATGTCAGTAAAGGTATTATACAATTACTTTATGGTTTCCGTGTTTGGATGGCCTGATCCAAACACGCGGGAATAGCGAGTGATTTTGCCCGCTTTTCTTAACTCGAGCAACATTCCCAAGTGTTTGGATCAGTCCATCCAAACACGGAAACCATAAAGTAATTGTTTTATAAAATAACAACAACACGATAGTCTTCCGTGTTTGGATGGCCTGATCCAAACACGGCTTTTGACCAATCAGAACACGCGTTATATACATGTTATTTTATAAATGGTATTCTAAACGTTTTAAAATCAATTATTTTTTCAGCCAACAAGCCAGCGTCTGAGCACCTCCAGTACAGCGGCATCACGGCAAACAACAAGAACACAATCGTTAAAGGCAAAAGCAACACCTTCAAAACAAACCGCTCAAAAAGCAGTCATACCTAGGAGAACACTTTACAAGCCGGACAATTCTTCAAAAATTCCTGTTGTGGCGGGAAAAAGTTCCGTACTCTCTCGCCAGTCCCCCATGTCGCCGACACGACTAGCACCCAGGACTCTTACATCTTCCAACACCAGACTCCCCGCTACAAGAAAGAACGATGTCGCAAGGTTGGCTGATAAGTATGATAAATGCGTGTCGGTAATTGTCGTGGATCGTTCGACGGATGCCGGAAAAGGTTCGTCGCCTGAGGAGAAAAGTTCGACGACTGCCGGCAAAGGTTCGGCCAATAGCCGAAACAATATCAAAGGCATAGCACCAAATGTTGAAAAAATAAGTGCAGTGGATGATTCGAAGAATAGGAATGGGTTAAGTGAGAAGATCGAAAGAGCTGTGGTTTCAAAAGCATCAAACGCCACTGTGAAAGAGCAAACTTCAAAGGAAAGTGTGCTGGGCGCTAACCAGAAATCACGCGGGAACGACACCAAACAAAAAGCAGTCGAAGCGAAAGAAATAAAAGAGAAAACTGATCAAAATGTAGAACAATTACGAAATGGTCTGCAACGACAGAAAGTTAAAGGTTTGTCCTTTTTAAGAAAGCTTCAGATTGATAGCGATACTATAGTACAGGGATGGATTTACTGGTGGTGTGCGGGGAGGGGAGGGTGCACCCCCTAGCCCTGGCCAGAGGGGGTGCAGGGGTGGTGCTATTTTTCATGATAAAGCAAAAAATTATTAGAGACAAAATGAGATACAGTAATTTGAGTAATAACATGATGATAAGCGAACTGTGAACAACAATTACAATTCAAATACAGTAGTCAAGCAAGACTTTGCAGTAGTGTGCTGTACTGCCTGCACAAGACCTGCTGTACTGCCTTTACTAGACCTTTACTAGACCAGTTTAGAACTAATAGAGCTGTCCAAGTTTAACCGTTGACCTTAACGGTTCCTCTTAAGTTGAAGACAACAGCCATGTATTCAGACTCCTCTCATATTTCACTTAGATCAAGCTAACACCAAAACGTCTATGCTCAAGTTAGCAAAAGAAAGTCTCACCGCATGCAGAACTACGAGCAAAGACACCAAACAGGCAGTAGAAAACGCGAGGAAAAACTCAATCAACAACCGAACTAGCAAAGTTTCAACGGTGGGAAACTCCAGGCGTTCGAGTGTAAAATCACAAGAAACAGAGGATACAAAATCTTGGACAGGGGATGAAAGACGAAAAATTTCCAATTACAAAAAGACTAATGAATCGCAACAAACAACATCAGCAGTAAAACGCGAGGCAAAAACAGCAACAAGCGTGAGAACTTCGGCGTTTAAAACAAGTTCATGAATATATTACGGTATAACTGATTGATATCATAGCGCAAGACAGTCATTTTCTATTAAACACATACTATAAAGTCCTACATAGGTAAACTAGGAAGTATTCAGTTCTGGTAGAAAGATTCTTTCCTAGCATGTCTCGCGAAGGTGGGCAAACCAGGAAACATTGTTTCCTAGTCATGTTTCGCGAAGTTGGGCAAACCAGGAAATATTCTTTCCGCAACAAAAATCACACTTCGGAACACTGTTTGCACGGGTGAATGAGGAATGTTGGACGTCGCCATCGGAATTTTTTCCGTAAGACTGCAAAGATGTCTGCAACAAGGGCTTGACAGCCGTTTCCATTAAGATTGTTCACCGCAGATTTAAGCGCGCGACGGTGCTGGATACTCCATGAAAGTTGAGCTGGACTCAACTGCGCGACTGATAACTCACGTGACAACGCGACTGATAACTCACGGACTAGCCTGCGTACTCGCCGCCCGCAAGCAAGTAAACGCCCACTACGTAGGCTAGGATTGGACAGGTCTGCTGAGCACTGCTGTGTATATTTGGATGCGTGGCTCTTTAGAACTTTTTTTAAATAATTATTTAACATTCACAGGTAAAAGCAATATTGGGATTATGTATAATTATGAAAATGGTATTACACAAAGTTTGGAAAATTGAAATGCGTGTTCTGTGTTTTTCCTGGGTATAGATGGGAAATGGCCTTAGATGACCCATGGTTTTGGGCACATACGGTATATTACCTTAATAGATATAGATGAATCACTTTAATGTTGCACATCAAATTATCTAGCTTTGGCTTTCTTTCAGATTAAACTTGTGAAGAGTGTTAGAAGTTTTCAACAATGCACTAGAAAAAATATACAATACTAAGCTTTCGTGAAATATTAATTAATATGAATCTTGCAGAGCTAGAAATAACAGCCGATCAATGATCGGCAAGAAATTGCTTATGATCGGCGGAAAAGCAGGGTTTCCAACCTGAAAAAAGCAGGGAAAGTCATGACTGCCGATCACCATGATCGGGAACTTTGGGAACGTTATTTCAAGCCCTGATCTTGATGGATAATATAACCAGAGACGGATTATTAAAGGCCTTGTAACCATAACATAACAATATAACCCATGGTCTTACTAGTTACCAACCTTCCATCTCGAATAATCTTGTATGTCCCTGGTGTGGCTAAATTTACAACTGTTGATCCCTTGCGGCATTCCTCTGTATCCCCTAATGTACCTCCATCAAACACAACTGCAAGATGTTCCCACAAATCTTGGAATTCCTATATAGTTACATGAAGAACACCAATTCTAAGTGAACTAATTCTATGTTTGTGTCCACAGTGTGTTTTGAGGTTGTTTCAAAATGTTTTATTATTTGTTTATATACTGTAGTGTCCAACTGACTTCTGGCTCTGTCATTATGACAAGGAGCTTTCACCAGCAACATTGAAATTAAAGTATTTTAGTCTTTTGCAGGTTGTTCAGACACCAACTATACATTATTATAAAAGCCAATACAATTCAACAATATACAGTAAAAGCCATCCTTTACCCTCGACACAGAACCTTGACCCCCACATAAGGACATACAATACCCGAGAATTGTACAATACAACCCACACTGGACACCAACAACTGAGAATAGCTTTACCTTGATATCCAAGCTGCTTTTCGTTGCACTTTTGTTTGCACTAGTCAACGCCAGAGGAGAGTCACAATGTATTGCCAACTGCCTGATAAATTCATAATCTGGTATTCTAATCCCAACTAAGGATGTATATGGATTCAGTTCTGTATTGAGCTCAGGTTGTCTCTCAAACACCAATGTCACAGCTCCAGGGAGAAGTTGTGAAAGTATATCTTCATCTAATGTAGTTTTACCCCATCTGTGGAAAAATGAAAGCTAGGGCATTAGTTGAAGGTGTGACTGTTGACAAAGTGCATAGGAGGGAGCTATAGGCAGCAGTGTTCTGGGGAACTAGTGAAACTAGTGAAATATCTACCTATTAATACCCTTGCACTTACGCCCGGAACGGTGGCTTGGGGACAAATTGTACACACCAACCCTCATTGAACAATCGGCATAAGGAGGATCTTCTTTTTTTCCTCAGTAAAAAAGATGTAATATATAAAATGTACTTGCTTGTGGACATCTTGAATATTCCCAACAGAAATTGCAATTGGTTTCTCAAAGTGTCTGCCTTTGATTTCATACAGTTTCTGTACAGCGTCAGTTGACTGAGCAAGTGCAGCGATGCCGTACACAGTATCCGTAGGGAGGGCAATCACTTTTCCTTCTTTCAACACAGCTGCTGCCATGGAAACACATTCTTGCAAGTCACAATTCCCTCCTGTAATTTTTGGATCAATTGTCATGTTTTTTGTTTAGAAAGCTTTGGATTCATAGGGATGCAACTACCTGAAAATACAGAGAGAACTTCAACATTTCAAGCAAAGGCCTTTCAAAGGCCCTTCACTAACTTCCCGACAAAGGGCCTTCGATCAAAACATTGAAGTTCTCCTTGTATTTTTCAGGTAGTTGTATCCCTATCAATCTGAAGCTTTCTTATTATTGCCACTACCTACACTGGTACAGACTTGTCTGACCATTTTTTGTTCACAGCTTGATAGTTAGCAGTTAACCCTTTATGTGGCAATGCACCCTGATGCACCGTGAAGCACCGTACTTTCTCATTTTGTCTAACAGCAGACAATTTTACTTGTCAAGGGGAGAGTGCTACCATATTCAATGGGTTAATTTGATTTGCTTGCACAAGTGAAAACTCGACTTGGAATTTAACTTAGCTTCTCACTGACCAAACTAAACAAAGCTAATGCGTGAATCAAAGTCAAATACTTAAGGCCTGTTTAAACAGATCCAACAATAATAGATATGACTGCTTCTCTTTCAAATCTTTTTGGTTAGATAAGCTTTACTCAAACTCTAAACCTAGTCTTGACAAAAATATTTGAAAAAGAAGCCGTTTGGGCCATTATTTCAACAATGTTGGATGATGTTGGCCCAACAATGTTGGATCCGTTAAAACAGGGTTTTAGAGAGGGTGGGAAAGGGTATTTTCGTGAGCCGTGAATGGTGAATATTTGTTCGTGTGAAATGCTTGATTTTAGTGTCGTGAAATGTGATTTGTTCTACAGCCGTGAGGCGTGATTGTTGATAAAAATGTTCCGTGAAATGAGAATTAAGGATGCCTGTTTCGTGAACTGTGATTATTATAGTGATTATTATAATAAACATGATACGCGATAATCAAATTTATATGATCTCACTCGATTGCACAAGAGTAAAAACTTCGGAGGCCTTTCGCGAGGTTCCTGACGCTGAGGACAAGGTTCCTGACGCTGAGGACAAGGTTCCTGGCAGTGTGGACGAGGTTCCTGACGCTGAGGACAAGGTTCCTGGCGCTGAGGGCAAGGTTCCTGGCGCTGAGGACAAGGTTCCTGGCGCTGAGGACAAGGTTCCTGGCGGTGAGGACAAGGTTCCTGGCGGTGAGGACAAGGTTCCTGGCGCTGAGGACAAGGTTCCTGGCAGTGTGGACAAGGTTCCTGGCGCTGAGGACAAGGTTCCTGGCGCTGAGGACAAGGTTCCTGGCGGTGAGGACAAGGTTCCTGCCGGTGAGGACAAGGTTCCTGCCGGTGAGGACAAGATTCCTGCCGGTGAGGACAAGGTTCCTGCCGATGAGGACGAGGTTCCTGCCGGTGAGGACAAGGTTCCTGCCGATGAGGACAAGGTTCCTGCCGGTGAGGACAATGTTCCTGGTGGTGAGGACAAGGTTCCTGACGCTGAGGACAAGGTTCCTGACGCTGAGGACAAGGTTCCTGACACTGAGGACAAGGTTCCTGCCGGTGAAGACAAGGTTCCTGCCGGTGAGGACAAGGTTCCTGCCGGTGAGGACGAGGTTCCTGCAGGTGAGGACAAGGTTCCTTCCGGTGAGGACAAGGATCCTGGCAGTGAGGACAAGGTTCCTGTCAGTGAGGACAAGGTTTCTGGCGGTGAGGACAAGGTTCCTGCCGGTGAGGACATGGTTCCTGCCGGTGAGGACAAGGTTCCTGGCGGTGAGGACACGGTTCCTGGCGCTGAGAACAAGGTTTCTGGCACTGAGGAGGGGGACATTGGGATTTACAGTATGGCGGTATTAGCTTATTTTTCTTACAGTATTTCAGTATTTTCCTTGAAAAATTGTGGTATTACGATATTGGAAATCTTGCGGTACACGGTAGTTACAATTTGGACTCAAAAGCTGCGGCAATTGACAAAATTTGCCTGCGGTATTACGGTATTGAGTACTCCCCAATGCCCCCCTCACTAAGGACAAGGTTCCTGGCGCTGAGGACACACACTCAAACATGTAAGTTATGATGTAGTTTTTAACTGACAGGTAGAGAAATGAAAGAACTTAAACCGTAGATACTGTACCATGCATTAAACATAGTCTTAATAAACGTATTATATTTATTATATTATTTTATGAAAATCTAGTTTTCCATGAAATTGCTTTTTTAAGACACGTGAATCGGCTTTTTTTTTCGTTGTGAAACGTGATCCATACTCCCCCCTTTCCCACCCTCTTTAGATTTATCAATTCTGAACTGTTCTTTCTAGTAGGGAAAAATACCTGGAGAAAACCATTGATAGAATATAATCTGCCTACAACTATTGCAACAATTGAATCATCTACCATAACTTTATCATGGGCAGAAGACATAGTATTTCCATCAAGATAAACATAAACAAATATTTACAAAATGTATTTCTAAAATGTAAATAATATTAATATGCTATAAATTGAAACAATACGACAATATTAAAATTAAAAATGAGGATAAACTATAAAACCACTGCTTACCATTTAATCCCGTTGGTAAAGTCACAATTTTAGCCATGTTTTTAGCTTTACCTGCGTTCTTTTTGCCAAAATTTGTAAAATTTTTCATTGTTTTTTCCCGCTTTTTTGCACAACATCTACCGAATATATTGCATCATTTCAATGTTGACGAGAATTTCCGAACATAGACGACTCCCTACCGAAGATGTTACGACAAAAACTACAAGTGATCTCATTAAGAGACTGGATTGACATACGAAGAAATAAAACTACATGAAAACTGTAACGAGGCTATTGGGTTAACAACCACATGAAAACGAGGCCATTGGCTAATAGTACAGTCTTTTAACGTGATCTTAGTTCAGAAGTTCTGTTTATCCCAGGCAGTAAGTGTTTATATGGTAGTAAATTGAAAAGCTAAATGTTTCCAAGACATATACATTTGCGGTGATTTTCCATCAATACCATAATAAATTATCAATACCAATATAGTCAGGCAGATAGAGGCTCAAAATTATGGAAAACTTACTATATCGTGGGACATATAAGACATTTAAATGGTTAGTTGGGATTTTCAAGCAGTTTTCGAGTTATTGCTGTTTTAAATGTCAAAAATAAGCCAAATCTCGCAAAATTCCTGGGTACTAGTTTGAAAACCCTCATCTTGTGCCCTCATTCAACAGCTCATAACTAAAGAAGAACTTGAAAACCCCGGGTAACCGTTTAAATGTCTTATATGTAGTTTTTTGCAAGCTTTCAAATTATGTAAGTCATTTGTATTAGAAATGTATCAGAAATTTCACATTTTTTAACTGTAATAGAGTTTAATACAAAATTCGAAGAAAAACGTGTCGGCAGGAGCCCACAAGAAATTTTAACGCGGCCAACATACAGAAACGTACTTATTAGCCTTCAGGGCACACTATGAAGGCAAAATGGAGTTATCCCGCGATATAGTAAGTTTTTTCCTTCTATCTGCCCGTCTAATAGGTTACTTCGAGAACCGTTTTTCCTGCGATGTTCCGCCAGTGTTCCGCACTGTCGCACTACATCCCATTCAATAACTCCACAGGTAACCCTGGCCGACTATGGACATGCCTTGTTACTGGACGACAACCTGTCGTCGGCAACAATAGTATTAAAAGCCAACTTAACAGGTTGTAGCCAACTACTAGAGATTGCATAGCTCATTTCGCTGTTAGCTCGACGATAACATCTCTTATAGTGCTATTTCCGGAGAAAATTGGCAGGGAGATCATGTGGGTACATTCTTTTGGAGTATAAGCTTTCATCGTTGCTTGCTTGACCGAATGATCACGAAGCCGAACGTAAATAAAGCGCTGCGTGTCAACATATCGAAAATTGAAAAATTTACATGAGGACACTTGGCTATTATGAGACATCCATGTGGACTATTAAGCGTGAGACTGGTTTTACGAAGGAATTTTATACTTGCTCTTTTCCTATTGAATGTGCCGGTGTTATGTTACGTGTATTATAAACTGAACTTACTGAACTACGCATGGTATAATCGCGTTCATAGGTCTGTTCTTCACTGCCATACAGTACCAGAAGACATGGAAGCTTTGATTACTTTATCTAAAGACATTCATAATACTTTAACGAGTTTAAACGTCACCCATTGGCTAGCGTATGGAAGGTAGGGAATTTCTTAATAATTGCTACACCAAGGTACATCTAAATATAAGACGCTATCACAATACAGGAATATATTGTCCCTTTTCAAAGCTAACATCAATATAGCTTGGATATTTAAAAATGCAAAGCATTAAAGCAGGTGTGAAAAATTGATAATTGCTCAGTTGCTACGTGGATCGATGCAATTATCAAAGATCTTGTGGTGTTGAGAACCGGCATTTCTCGTGTCTTTTGGCTGAGTATCAAAACAACCCTTGATTAGACACGAGTTTATGATATAGGTCTACACTGCCGTACGCTTTGATAAACTATACTTTTTCTTCGATATTGTACATCCCATAACGTGGAATACTAAAATTTAATAGCATATTACTCATATTAACAGCATTAAAAGTTAAGAAAACATATTTAGATTCAGAAATATATTTAAATATTCAAACAGTCGAACTTTCTTTATGTGTTAGTAATGTCACAAAAAGCCAACTAGTGACAGTAGTGTTTTTAGTTCGCTTTATAAATTTACGATGTATAAATGAAAAATATAAAAGACCTTCGAAGATAGTACAAAAAGTACATTTTCTGGGCAGCATATACCGATAGGTATGTATAAACATGTAATGTATAAATATAAACTTGTGTTACAGAAATAAGTAGACCGTGTTATGTAACGCCAAACATGTCAAAGATGGTATGGAGATTATGTTTGAAATGCAAACGTTGATTGTCACAACATATATTGTTGTGTGAATACACCCAAACTATTATATACGTGTCATATCGGTTCATCTAAATTACTAAATAGGCTCATCGGAGTCGGTGAAGGTGTGCTAAAATTGTTTTGAACGGGTAGTCATTAATTAAAGTGCACATGACATGAAATGACACGAAACTGTTTGTTGTCTGAAACGAAAATGCTTATTAGTCTTATTAAAACTTGTAGAGTAATTTCCTTTCTACATTTTTATCTCCAAGTTTTGTTGTTGAGATAATTCATTTTCGCAAAACGTCATACATGAATAATGAGCTGATTGCTGCATTTCTTTGCTTGTACTTGAAGCCTGGTTTCCATATCATATCACATATGCCATAAAGATTGAGTCACGATCTTAATTTTAATTTTGCCCAAAATATAACATTTAACAACATAATTATTTACAAATTTTTAGGGCTAGGCCTGCTCTAGGAACCTACTAGAAACCAAAAGGCTTTTATTCAAATTAAATAACTATAACATATATAAGGTGCCAGTTCGAGTCACGATTTTTCTCAACGCGAACGGCCATATGATAGTTTTTACCTGTAAACCACATATAAATCATAAGTATTCTCTATTTCTAATCACTCTGCCTATTAACAGTGTTAAACTGTTGTATTTCGGCTGTCGAGAAAGATCAGGACTCAATTTTTACGACCGTTAAGACAATATGGAACCAGCCTTAACGCATATCACTTGAAACAAGCAGCGTCTACTGTCTCATCATATATGTAAATCGCGTCAATAAGGCAATTCAGAGTTCCCCAGCGAGTGATTCAGCTGTTCACTCATTATTTTTGTTTCGCTTACAGCTACAACAGAACTGGTCATTAATTAAATAATTTTTGTATTGGTATATTTTGCCTTTTGTGTGAAGCAAAATAAAATACACTTAAGGGATTATGTTTTCTAATTTAAAGCGTATTAGTCATGCAATCGTGCGGAAACTAGTTGTTCATTGAGCGACTTTTACATTGATAGTTGAATCAGCTTTGATATTCATATTCTAATTATTGCAGTCTCAGCTTGTAAAAGGATTCTAATTATTGCAGTCTCAGCTTGTCATTTGAGTGCGCAGTAATATAGCGGAGCGTAATTTTTCTCTGTCTTGTGATTTCTCGGGTGGAATAAGACAAAGAAAAATTCCGCTCCGCCCGCAAAATTCCGGCTAAAGGTCATATTTCATTGGCCGATTTCCATTGCAGTCGCTTTGCGCGGGCGGAGCGAACATTACTCAACTTTCTCTCTAGTTGTCTAACCTGTGCATTTTTTGTCCGCCTGAACTACATTCAACTTTTTTGGCGTGCCCGCGCGACTGATTTTTCACGCGATTAAAATTGCTCGCTTCACCCGCGCTGGCAAACCGACTGCAATGGAAAATGGCCTTTAATCACGTGAAAAACCAGTCGCGCGGGCACGCCAAGAAAGTTGAATGTAGTTCAACTTTCATGGCGTGTCCACGAGCCAGTTAGACAACTAGACAGTTGAGTAATGTTCGCTCCGCCCGCGCAAAGCGACTGCAATGGAAATCGGCCTTTTCCACTAGGCGGAATTTTCCGCGCGTGGTGTGCACTAGCCTGCAAAGCGGGCGTTTGATCAACCTCGCAAGCCAGGGTCTTTACTTCCGCACAGCGCTACATAAAGACCGTGGCGTCAATCTCGTTCCCCGAGCTTGCGATCCTCGGGAAGGAACGTGAGGCTCTGGGATAATCCGTCTCAGGTTTGGCCGTTGAAATGGAATGAGTAGATAGATAGATAGATAGATCAACTTTATTTAAACACATTGGCCTTTTCAGCAAAAGCTGATTTCCAAAAGGGATGTGTACTTACAAATTATTATTTATATACTAGCTCTAATATTACATACATAACAAATACAATTATATACCTATTTAGACAAAAAAATTAACTACTACTTTAAGTCGAGATTAAGGTCGAGGAAGATAGCTTTTTACAGAACGAATTATACGATACCGAATTGCGTATCTCTTCAGGTATCTGATTCCATAGTTTAGCCCCACTATATTGGAAGCTTTTTTTTAAGGATTCCGTTTTTGGTCTTGGAATATAAAACCTTGTTGAAGAACCTCTCAGATTATGGTCATGAATGGTATTCAGATTTTGGAAAGCTTCGCATAGTCGTTGGGGGGCTAAACCATTAACTGTCTTGTACATGAGCCTGGCTTTCATTTGTGCCCTACGCTCTTCAAGTGTTACCCAGCCTAGAGATTTTCGTGCCAAAATAGACTGACCATGTTCATTTTTTAAGTTCATGATCAACCTAGCCGCTCTGTTTTGGAATTTCTGTAGACGTTCGCTTAGGCCTTTATTAAGTGTATCCCATACTTCACAGCAATAATCAAAATAAGGTTGGATTAAGGCATTATAAACTTTTATCAAAATGTCTTGTTCGACATACTCCCTCATTTTTCTAATAGCCCCAATTCCTGATGATATTTTACTGCTAATATGGTTAATGTGTTTTTCCCAACTCAAGTTTTCGTCTAATTCAACTCCAAGAGCTTTGGTATTTTTAACTTTTTTAATCAATTGATTATTTATTTTAACTCCTTGATGGGTATCAATATTACTTATTTTATGTCGTGTTCCAATTAAAACATACTCGGTTTTCGCTATATTTAGACTTAGTTTATTTGCACAAAGCCATTTCTGAACATTCCTCATGTCTACGCTCGCCCTCTCTTCCGCCTCACTAATTGTTCTGCCAACTGCCGTTAAGTTAGTATCATCAGCAAACATTCTTGGAGTTGTGCGTTCTAGGCAGCTTGGCAAATCATTTATATACATAATAAATAAGAGAGGGCCGAGTATACTTCCCTGAGGAATGCCACAAATGATTTCTTTCTCCACAGAGAGTATACTGGCCAATTGACAACTTTGAGTTCGGTGCGTCAAATAGCAACGTAAAAGATTTAATGCTTTCGTTTGGAAACCATACATTTCAAACTTACTTAACAGTATTTCGTGGTCGACTGTATCGAATGCTTTTTTTAGGTCAAAAAAAACAACTAAGTTATACAGCCCACGGTCCATGTTGGTATACCATTCGTTCGTACAATCCAATAATGTAGTAGTTGTGGAATGATAAGGTCTGAAACCAAATTGGTGTTTTGAGAAAAGATTATTCTGGTTAAGATACTCATACATTTGATCATACATAATTCTTTCCATAAGTTTACTTACTACAGGAAGGATTGATATCGGTCTATAGTTGTCCAACATGGACCGCTGACCTTTCTTAAACAATGGAATAACCCTTGCAGCTTTCCAATCAGAAGGAAATTGATCCGAGTCAATTGACATATTAAAAATCTCAGTAAGAGAAGGTGCAATAACTGGAGCTGCTACTTGTAGAATTTTAGCTGAAATTTTATCCATTCCAGTCGCTTTGGTGGTAGACAAATTAACTAGAAGAGTGTAAACCAATGTTACACTCACTGGTCGAAATGAGAAACTGTTCTTTGTCTTAGATTTTTGTTGAGTAATAAAATCTCGAAAACTAACGTCATTCATGTCATTTGGAATAGACTCAGCAAGCTTTGGGCCAATATTACTAAAATGATCATTAAAAATGTCGACTAATTCGTCGGTCGATGTAACAGTTTTACCTGGAAGTTTAATTTCATTAATCGTAGTCTGTTTTCTGTTTCGACCTAATATATCGTTTATTGTTCTCGAAGCATATTTAGGATTCTGTTTATTATTTGTGAATTTGTTTGCATAATAATCTCTTTTAGCACTGCGCAAAGCAGTGTTGGCAACATTTCTAGATGACTTATATAGTCTCCAGTCTTCTTCTTTATTTGTCTTTATTGCTTTACGCTTAAGAGCATCTCTTTTAAATAATTTTTCCTTTACTTCCCGGCTTACCCAAGGAATATTGCCCCCTTTTCTTAATCTTTTCACTCTCACAGGGGCATGTTTATCCAGCACATCTACAAAAAATGTTTTCCATAACCGCCACATTTCATCTACATTTCTTTTAAATCTTATTTCTTCCCAGGGTATATTTTGTAAGTCATATAGAAAGCCTGAAACATTGAAATTCTTAAAATTTCTATACTCGACAGAACCTTGTAAATCAGTTTTTATTCTTGTATTTATTTTCCGAATACTATAAATGAGGCTGTGATCACTAATTCCGAGATGGACTACACCTGAAAAAATTATTTTTTCAGGCATTGACGCAATTACTACATCCAATAATGATTGGCTAGACTGGGTAATACGCGTAGGGTTATTAATTAATTGTGTAAGCTGATATAATTCCAAAACGTCTTGAAGCTTTCTAGTGGTGGACAAAGTTGGTTCTAGCATATTACAATTCAAATCTCCCAAAATATAAAATTCTATATTTTCATCATCTTAGCCAATCTTAGCCAGTATTCCTGGCTTCCGGCAACAGATTATCCCAGAGCCTCGCGCGTTCCTTCCTGAGGATCGCAGACTCGGGGAACGAGATTGCCCTGGCGTTTGATTTGAAACGCAGCCTCGTACCCAGGCTCTTTAGTAATTAATAGCGTTCAGAGCTCTGGGTGAGTCTGGTTGATTTGAAACGCAGAAGGCAGGACCACCCAAAACGCCTTGCTTGCCAGCTATGTGGAAAATGCGCGTTGCGGATAGAAAGGAAAATACGGATTGTGCAGGATAGATGGAGCAAAATATGATGATAGGATTAGATCAAGTGATCTTTTGGAAGGTTTAGGATGGGATAATCTACATGTTAGGCGGGCTAAGTTGAAGAGTATCCTAATGTATAAAATCCTTAATGAAAATTGTTCGCCATGTTTAAGAGAAAGCCTTGTAAGACTTAGTAATTTACGAAATCAGGAAACGGATCTAGCACTTCCAAAACCAAAAACTAATTTTTTGAAGAGAAGCTTTAAATATGGCGCATCAATGCTGTGGAATAATCTTCCATTAGATGCAAAAAGAGCGACTTCGCTCAGACAATTTAAGCGTAGTATTGCGGAACTGTCCTTTTAGAACTATGTTGACTTAATCATAGTTAACTCTCTTTATTTACTTTACTTGACTTGGGGGGTTCATATAATATTCCATATATTCTACTGTTTTATATATCACGCCCCTCCTGTAAATCAGCTTTTAGTTGTGCGAGGCTAGCGTGTTTTGATTTTAAATATAATTGATTGATGATTGATGATGAGATTCTTATTTTTCTCCCAATTGAAATTATTGCGTTTTTAATTAAAGTGTTAAAAATTGTAATTCAAGCCTTCATTGACATATTTTCTACGTAGTGATAGACATACAGCTATTTCGAGCAAAGCGGAAAAGTCGAATACAAGCGCGAAAAGCTGCTGGGAATCGCTAACAAAATCATTAATTTTCAAAGAGATTCCCAGCAGCCTTTCGCGCTCGTATTCGACTTTTCCGCTTTGCTCGTGGACAACCTTAATTGAAATAGCTGTATGCATGCCAAAACATTGTTAAATAATCATAATTATCATTCACTTTATAGTATTCTCAATTTTGATTGGTTAATTTACCTGCAAATAACTGCGTGCAAATAATAGTCTGAGCATGCGCATTTGTTAAAAACGTTGCTCAGCTACAAATAATAGTCTGAGCATGCGCATTGCCTTCAATTTTTGTAAGCAATGGCGGCTCGCTTTGCTGAACTTTCGGAAAATGAGTTGTCTTGCTTACTTGAAGAAAAAAACGCGGAAAATTAAAAAAGCGACTAAAACCGCAGTCAATGTCTTTCGCCAGCATTTAGAAGCAAGATAAATCAACGAAGACAATCTAGTTGGCTCAAAAGTAACTCTTGCCAGTGTCCTTCGCAACTTTTTATGCAGAAGCAAGAAAGAGAGACGGCGAACTTATATAGTAAACGAAAGATAAAATTGAGCTTTATAAATAATTGATCTGCTCGCCACCGACAAATCACGATGTTTTGCTCAACCTCGTCCAATAATTGATAAATATCTGCAAAACGAATATCACAGTCGATGTTCTATTTACAATGCACATATGAAAGAGTGATTTAAATTTTGTTTATGAGATAAATGTTAAAACAGTCTAAATATTCTTTCTTGCAGCTTATGGGGAGCGTTACGATATAAAGCACCACTTCCATGGGACACAGATTTGGATTTGGGAGTTTTACGCGGCGATTTAGAACATTTACCTCGGGGTAAATTAAAACTGATTCTAGCCAGTAAGGGGATGCATATACATTACTCATCATGGGGTGGGTTTTATCGCGTTACATCCGGCAATGCTCGTGCAGATCTTATGATTTTTGACACCTTCGCTAACAATGGTTACATGGAAAGAGTTGGGTGGGAGGCGTATCTATTCTTCATTAATTACAAGAAGATGCATGCGTTCCCGGCAGAACTTATTCGGAAACCTCTGCCCGCCATGAAGTTTGCGAATATTCCTGGAATGCCTGTGCCTCATCGTGGCTTAGAAATGCAGAAATTCCATTATCCGTATGATTGGTGGAAGGAGAGTAAACCTATTGGCTGTTGATCTCTTATATTGCATGAGTGGAGTTTTGCGTGATATGATCATAGATATCTTATATACACTATATAGCGCATCTCTTTTAGTAAAATTGAAGCCAAGAATATTCCAGCGGTTACCCCCATTTGAACAGATGGCGGCCATGTTGGAGTTTCCCACTCGCTAATAAACGCTTAAAAAACAACAATAACTTTCATCATTTGAATAGTTTGAAAATATATTTGGAATAGGTTTAACTTAATGTTTAAGTTCCCTGTTTAAGAAATAGAAAACATACGAGTCTTCTCATTTCATGGGAATATCTTGAGTCTGCAATCACGGCTTCAATTTTTGAATTTCAGAATAATTAGATGCACTATCTAGTGTATATAAGATATCTATGGATGTGATATATCACGGGAGTGTTTCTCATATGGAAGGTTTATAGAGTACTATGAATTGAAATCTAAACTTCCCTAAAGGCCCATATTTCCACTCAAGAAACTTTTCCGCGGAAAGAAAAATATGTTTAATGTGATTTTCACAAATTTTCCGACACAAATTTTGCGTTGGAAATACAATGATATTTTCGGAAAATTTTCTGTTCGTGGAAAATTTTGTTGAGTGGAAATGGGCCGTCAAGGGTAGGTTGTAGAAAGACAGAATTGTTCAGGATATATTGATCATAAAATTATTGAATTAATGTGAATTTCACGATTAGCTATAAAATACAAAAGCTACTTTATACTTCAAACATTGCGAAGAGACTAAAATTAGGCTTCTATTAATCAATCAATTAAACTTAAATGTTATTTTTTAATTAAACAAGTGTCAATGGACTTTTGTAAGAAGAATCTTTAATATATATACTGTGGTCGTTTTTAGCTTGTCGAATGTAGTAGCATGGTTGGTAGACTTGGGTTAAACTGTAGCTTCGGAGAACTTTGACTGTTCGACAATTGTATTGTAAATACAGTAAATGTAAGGCCAGTAGCGATTGACACACACATGCAGGTAAAAATCTCACAACTTGTCAATAAGATGTGTTCGCAACAGGCTTGTAGCAAGCTTGTCAGCAACTTGTTACAATGTTGTTACTTTGTCAAATTCAGTGTTACAAGATTGTCGCTCACAACTTGTTAAAAACAAATTGTTGAATTGCAAGACGATAACAAGTTGTTGAACTTCGTGGAACAACTTGTAACAAGTCTATCGAGTCAACCTTGTAGCAAGGTGTCAACAAGTCGTTGCAGGTTTGTTACAAGTTGTGCATTTTTATCTTTAAATTACTCTGTTAGGCATTCGAATAAATTCCGTTCGGTAAGAAAATTGCACAGAATTAAATCCTGAATTATATTCAGAATGTTAGTGGTCGTAGATTATAAATTTCAAAAATTCCTCTGCATGATCTATCCATGTCGTGAGAGGCTAAGGGCTAACTTCACAGAGCAGTGTCTTTGGAGGGTAGCAGTCCAGGTCATTTTGATTTAGTGCAGTTTCACACATTAAGACACTATGCTACTGCTGTCAAGATTATCAGAGAGCACCATGTCCCATCGACACTTCTCAATTATTCATGGGGCAATTTCTTTGAACGGCTAGAGGTCCAGGTCATATTGAGTTCAGTGCACTCAACACTTTACCAATCTACTGTAGTATACGTCACCTACTTGTGTTGTCAAGGTGATCTGAGCTAACAGGGGATAACGGCGAACGTGGAGATAACGAATCAGGTGAATGTGTGTGTGTACTTGAGGTAGGACTAAGGAGATCCCTTCGTGTACCTGAATGTTCGTATGATCCTGCTTTTCTTGCTGGGCGAAGATCGACAGCTAGTCCAGGGATAGGTCTGTTTAGTTTTATAGGTGGATGTTTAGTACGCTGCGCTGTATCGATGGATGGCTTTAACTCTTGCCTAAAGTTCAAGAAAAAAATTATATTTATTACTCATTACGATTACATTGAACACATGCAATGTATATGTACATGTACACAACGCTATAGTTCGACTTGGCAATTGTTAGTAGGTTTTTCAAATAAGCCCATATTATCGCACTAGACACGATAATTGCATGTGGTCGTAGTTTAATTGCGGTTCGATTGCGATTTAATAACGGTAAAGCTTTGTTTAGATTGCGGTTTAGCCGCGGTGGTCGAATAAATACATCTCCGAAAAAACGGTGACCGAATGTCACCACATAAGCTCTTGTTCGTGACGGTATCTGATTATAAGCTCTTGCCAGTTGTGTATAAACACGGCCATAAATACAGTATGTCTAAGGTAATTATGTCTATATAGGTCTATGCAGGCGTGATAAATGATTAAACGAGAAACTCGTCACCTGTTTTCCTGCGTTCTCGTCTCCTTCTCATTCTCTTCCGCGTTCTTAAACTGCATGGATTCTCTGGTCGAGTTCGTGAAGTGAACCTCGCCATTCGCCAACTCGTGCGGATCTTCAACACGCCCCAGCGAGCTGAATCTAATATAACAAGAGTAGCTGAGGTTACCACAGACTCTCCTTCATCTGGGTTTTTTCAGGGTTTGCTCTTGGGTCCGTTTTGGCAGAAAAGATTGAGTTTAGCTGAACAACTGGGGGGGGGGGG